TGCAAGACACACTCCGAGTCCGCCTTCCAGCTCGGCTCCTCTTTCACCCAACTCCTTTATATCGAACACACCCCGAGCCAGCAGTCCTGCCTCATCCTCGGTCTCTCGCACGCTCAATATGACGGCGTCTCTCTGCCATTGCTCCTCCGCGACCTCGAAACCCTCTACACGTCCGGCCAGATTCCCACGCCAACCCCCTTCTTCACCTACATCTCACACACCCTCTCACCGACTCCTCAGACCAAAGCCCTCGCTTACTGGAAGAATTTCCTCCAAGGATCTACTCCCTCCGTTCTTCCAACCCAACAACAAGCCCAACAACAGGGCACGAAGTCCATCTTCCACACCGCTCCCATTCCTCTTCCCTTCCCCTTCGGTCTCGAAGAAATCACTACTGCCACCCTCCTTACCTCCTCCTGGGCGCTGCTCCTCGCCCGCCGTCTTCAAACCCAAGACATCACCTTCGCGAGCGTCACGTCGGGCCGGACCCTGTCTTCCCTCCCCAATCCAGATTCTATTGTCGGTGCCTGCTACCAGCTCATGCCCGCGCGGGTTCAAATCCAACCCAGCTGGCAGGCAATGGACTTCCTGCGCGCCGTGCAGTCGCAGGCTGCGGAGTCTGCAGAGTATGATTTCCTTGGTCTAGACAAGATTGGTAATGCTCTCAACTGGGATAAGAGTATTGGGTCCGTGGTTCACCACCAGGACTGGGATGATTTCGATGAGATGCCATTTGCAGGAGGCAAGTGCAAGGTTGATATATTGAATCCGGATGGTGATGCGGCGGATCCAATGAAGGTTGTTTCGTTTATTAAGGAAGGTGTGATGCATGTTGGTGTTGTAGGATGGGAAGGTGAGGAGGCTGTTGTGGATGAGCTTTTGAACGAGCTGGTTAGTGTTGTTGGGGAACTGGTTGGTGGTGGTGAGGTGAGGGTTTGATGTTCTCTTTGCTTAAGTTCGAATGTTGCATATACCGATTAAATTAAAGTCAAATCTTTGGCAAAGTAGCCAGGATAATTGAATAGCTCTATTACTCTGATTACTTTGTATGTCGTAGTATCTCGAGCCGGTTCCCCAGTAGTAGCACCCTCACAAAAGCACGCCATCCACCACTTTTATGGGCTCCGGGGTCTCATAACTTAGTTTCAATATATTTCTATACTGGATTGTGCCATCTACGTTGCTTTGGTGATGACGGGTTATCGACATTAATCATGTAGTATCTATATTATTGATATACCGGGAAAGCTACGTAGTCTGGCTGGTAAGGAGTATATGAGTAGGAATATCGCTTGAGGTGTGAAGACGCGTAATTCATAGTCCCTATAAACTAATATTTGCAGTACGCTAGTATTTGTACGATTTGGGGTCCAATCCAGCTCAATTCTTATCCTTATTCTTATACTCAATCTATTCTGCTAGGTAAATTGCTAGCTATACAGACGTGAAGCAAGGATATGGTCCTGGACGCTGTCGAATGCCTCAAGATCGCAGGCACAAAATAACGGAATGCTGCAGACCGGGTAGGAACTTAGAGTCGTCACCGCAGCTAAATAGTACACAACTAAACAACAACATATATAAGAAACCCCTGCCGCGCCTTCCGCCGTGCAAATCCGGGACGTCTCTATTCTATACAATGGTCGTGCCCTCCCTGTATTTGCGGGTAGCAAGTTATTTTGAAATGATCCGCTTATCTTACTAGCATATTCTTCTGCCACCATTTTTAGTTCCATAAGACTGTTGTATCATCTTCTGCTACATCCTTCGCTTGCATCGTTCTTCTCGGTCTGTTGCAGGCTTTGTGGCTGCGCATTGTTTATGTCGCTCTTTCTCCGCACGTTCTGCCTATATTGGGTGTGTTTTTGACTACCACTTCCACTTGGTAGTTATTGCTTGAGAAGATGTTCTCGATAACTCACGCTCACTCTCTGCTGTGTGCGGATATGCTTCTTTGCAATGGTGTCTGCAACTCTACGGAAGGTATCATTGCATCTGTCATTGCCTCAGTTAAAATGTGGTTGATTTGAATTCCCTGCTCCAGCCTATTATCCTCTGTAAGGATTGTCTGTATCAGCTGCTGTGTTGCATTCTGGCACTTCTCGTCCTATTTTTGCCTAATTTACATTCCTGGCCGCCAGACACTGGCTGCTTCTTCTGCGTTCTCCATGAATCGTAAGAGTTCGGTCTGTTGCCTTTCACGATCCATGCTAGTCTCTCCATTGGATCGTTTATTGTATTCAATATCGTCGACAATATGATATATGAGTCTTTGAGTTGAGGACTGATGATGATTCTAAATTGGGGGTATAATAGCGTGCGGCCACCCTCACGTTAGTTACGTGATGTTGCCTGTTTGCTATACTTGTTCTACTTTACTTCAATTGTTGCTCGCTTATCTTGTCATGGTGCCCTTTCCCCCTCCCAATGCTACAAAGCCTCGAAGATAGCACCGACATGGTTCGTTTTTTGGAAGGCTGTTTCAGTTTCGAACGTGTTAAGCACCTGAAACTGCCAAGTCCCACAGTCGTCTTTGCCAATCACCTGGCCACGTCCTTAGGTTTGTGATCACGGCAGGTGGGCTCCCAATCCGTACTCTGGGGGTGTTCCTTGGAGAATACTGTATGTCCGAAGACTCGTCGTGACAGGGCATATAGTTCCACGATCAAAGCAGGCTTTTACACTAGGATCAGTCGACGTTCACCTTCCACAACGCTGAAGCGTCAAACATCGTCTCTCCCATCCAACATCCCAACTCTTCCAAACCCAAGACCTCTCTCAAATACCGTCTTGCGAGCTCTCTCTGTCCATTCGCCCGGCCCAAATAAAACACTGCATCCTCCGCCGGATTGGCATGCGCAGCTCCAATCTGCTGCGGCAATTGCAGCATCAGTTCCAACAGCCAGTGCCCAAATGCATTGTTCAAACCCACAGCCCAATCTGTAATCTCCGCATCATCAGCCGGAACAGACTCCGCACTAGCGCGCACGAGCAGCTGGAAGAACGTCGGGTCATGCCGGGCGAACCGGACAGCCGTGCGAAAATGTTCTGCGGGGAGGATGTAAGGAACACGAGTGGTTGGATTGAGGGATTGGTTCTCGCTGCGAAAATGATATTCATCGATTTTGAGGAGGATGGATAAGGCGGCTTTGTTGTTTTCGATGAGGGCATTACGGATGCCGATCTGCAGGGATTCATGGGACACAGAGACAGTCGGTTTGACGAGATCAGCGCGGTTGAAACCGCTGGCTATGCGAAGGAGCTCGAGGTAGGTAACGTGATCAGGGGTGGAGAGGTCTTCGACGAGTTTATTGGGGATTAGAAGGACGCCTAGGACTGGGTAGGTAGTCGATTGGTCGTTTTCATGGTGGGTGACTGTTACTGAGACCAAGGGTGCTACAGTGAGGGTGTAGTGATTGGCTCCGTTGGTGTCGGTTCCTTCGAAGATGCGAGTGTCTTCTCTTTGAGCGAGGAATCGGGTCAATGATTCTTGGTCATGTGGGCCCATGCCGATTCCTGCACCCAACCAGTGTCGTTGAATGGCAAGGTTCATAAGGTCCGGGAGCTGCGCTAGGAGCCGCTGTATCGTGCACCATTTGCAGCGAAGGATGGTATCCTGGAGGTGTCTCCGCTCTGCATGGCTGAGAGGGTGGTAGTCGACTGGTCGGAGAATCCTGGATATAGCGACTTCTGAGGCATGGTTTCTCAATGCCGTGGTAGCAGACGAGTCATCCCAAAATGCCAACAGGATCAACGCTCTGTATATGCGTTCACTCGAAACGGTTGCGCCTAGGGCTGAGGAGCAGCGAGCGAAGTTCACATTTAGTGAGTATAGGAAGATCTTCTCGATCAATTCAACGGGGAGGGATTCCAGGATCGATTGTCGGGGTTTGGTGGGTTTGACGACGAGTAGACGAGCTCGTTTGTGACTTCGCGCTTGAGATGACTCGAGCTTTGTCTGGTGGGATATCATGGGTCGCCCACCCTTGGGTCCACTGGGTTTTGGTTTGGGGACTCCATCATCAGGATATTTTCTCCTGCGACCACGAACCCGTATGGGCGTGAGCATACCCGGCTAAGTCTGTGTTCAGCTGGATTGCTTGGGTTACTTCATCAATCCATGTCTGGTGACTTGCTCAAGCATTAATATGGGCTTTGGGGTATCTCAGCTATCGGAAATCCTGAGCATTCTGGATCAAATAGCTCCGGTGCTACTTTGATCCGATCGTTCCCTTTTAAAGTAAATTACTCCGTTCAGGCTCCGGCTTGTGGCTTCAAGTTACAATCGAGCATGGTCCCTTCTCCCTCCCTGACCTACACTTCGAGGATGTGGTATCCGGTTCACCGTTCCTTTGATCGCTTAACTGGTAGTGGCTCAATATGATATTACGACGATGCAGGAGTGCGCATCGACACACTATCTACTGGTGCTAAGGGACCGCTAACAAACAGAGACAGGTATTGCCGGGGACGGCGACCCAAAAAAAACACTGGGCTGGGATGAGAAAACTATAGGGAGGTCGTGCAGAACACGAGAGGATTTCTGGACGTAATCAAATGATTTCTCCGCCAATATATACCGTACAGGTGATGAGATAAGGGTAGTAGAATACATCGCTAGTGAAGGCTACGGGGGCTGACTGATAAATTGAGACGTGCGCCAGAAGAAAGATCCGTGATGTCAGAGGAAAGAGGATAGGACAGCCTCTGGGCCATCTCATCACAGCCCTTCACGGAATTCTTGCTTCAAGACAACGAAGCACCTGCACCTAACTTAGCGGGCTCGATCAGGTTAAAACGAACGTGATGAATTGAATGGAAACATTCAGACGCTGACTCACTGTTGTGTTGTCTCGTAGACTTGGATGAGGGTTGACGACCAGAATTCGATTCCCCACGAGAAGGGCAGTGACATTGCACCCGCGTGCTGGTGGACGTTGGTCTTGATCAGCCTCGTCAACACAAACCTCATAAATCTGATCCGCATCCACCAAATTCAATCATTTCTTCTTCTTTTCAAGATCCTTAATAAGCCTTGAGACATCCTCCGCATCGGAAAGGGCTTCTATGCGGTCGTAAATATCCTTGCCCTCATAATAATACTTCAGTGCCTCCTCTGGTTTATTATGAAACACCGCCAATTGTCCCAACATAACCTTGGCCGCCGCACAGCTGTAATCGCACTCCACAGATTCTTCGGAGGGTTCGACCTTCGCAGCCCTCTCAATCGCGCCCTGAGCCCACTTGCGTGTCGCCTCGATAGCCTCAGCACGCGAAACACCCGGGTCCGACGATGGCGAGACACCATCTAAAGCTGGGTTGCCGATACAAGCACTGATATTGTACATGAGGGTGACCTGCTTGCAGGACGGCGTTCCACCTTCGTTGGCATTAATGAGGTCAAAGGCGCGCAGATACAACGGCAATGAAAGGTCCAACTTCCCCTGGGAGGCATAGTGTTGGCCCAACTCGGATAGAGCGGTTCCGATCTCCGTAAGAGTCATCCAGTTGCCACCGCCGATGGGGAGTTTGGCTTGGTGTCGACGTTGCACTTCGCCGAGGGATAGTTGAACGGCAAATTCGAGGGCCTCTTCGGCCTTTTGGTCATCCTGGATATAATCGCTCTTATATAGTTCCGCAAGCTTTATGGACATACCCACAACCTTGGCGAGCGTTTTCTCCACCTGTCCATATTCATAGATTTCCGCCTCTTTCATCTTCTCATATGTTTCTGCAATGGCGGGATCGACTTTCATTGGACCAGCGGCCAGTTCGCCTTTCTCCGCGGAGGGCCCGCGGGCGAAGAAATAGTCGCTTTCACCATTTTTGAAAGCCTCTGTTTCCATCCTTGTCCTCACCCAGTGATATGCATCCGCTCGTGTCTTCTCTAGGACTTGAATAGCAGCCGGCACTAGCCCCGCCATCTCCAGACACTTCGACACCTGCAACCTGATCCCCATCACTTCGTCCGAGTAGGGGTGCATGTGCAGTTCCGTTGCTAACTTGATTGCCTCGCTGTATGCGTCAATGGCTTTAACGGGGTTCAGCTTTACATCGGTATAGTAGATTGCCGTACGGAGACGTTCCGCGACCGGTGGCGGGAACTTGTGGTATTGCGGGCCGACTTCAGTGGCTTCCTTGTAGGCGATGTAGCTAAAGATTGCAGTTGCGGTGGCGACGGAGAGCAGGGCGAGGGGAAGGAGGATGGGGTTATTGCGCCAAATGCCACGGGAGGCTTCCTGGTACCCGCGCTTCATCCTCTGCGCGAAGGAGATGGGACGAGTCTGGATGGTGGTGGGTTGAACGCTTCGTAGGAGGGATGTGGGAGCACCAGTCGGTCGTGAACGGAGGATGGAGGGTATTGAGCGTGTCGAGAATGAGAATGCATGTTGATGATGGCGATGTGCAAGGGTCCTGGGAATGGCAACAGCGCGCCGGGATGCTGCTGCGCCTAGCATGGTGGGTTACTTGTAAGGATATTAAGGTGAATAATGAGCTATCCTTACAAGCGTGTTGTTTGCTGGATGCGGACGAAAGACAGTCTGGAGCTGCGGAATGCGGAATGCGGAAGCGGGCCGGGACAATGGATAGTCCGATTGGGCCCAGCATTGCACAGAGACACATGTACTAGTACTACAAATACTACTATATACCGCGTTGGGAATTACATTAATGGAGAAAACTAATCAAAGAGTGAGATTCACATCTCATCTATAGACATGATCTTTGACATGATTGGATTTGCATGAACCACTATGAAGTCTTTGTAATTATGCTTACTGTGTGACGTAGTTAAATAGTTAACTTAATTAGCTATTTAGTTGACTTAAATGGCATTGCTTATTCATGGCCTTGGCAGTCACGTGTGCAGGGGGCCAGGCCATTTGAGCTCTCACGCGAGGTCGTTGTGACCTACAAGTTCAATAGTAAGTATTGATCGGTATATTGGCCGACTGCTGAGCCTCCGGGTCAGTGGACCAGACCTTCATGTGGACCTACTAAGGAATCTCCTCCCTGCCTTTTCTTTCCCCCGGACAGCCATCGATTGTCTCACGGCTCCAACTTTGGGACAGTGAAAGACCATACATCACAATATCCGCATAAGGATGGCCAAATCCGCCAGGCGTGGCCCCAAGGGTAAGGCCTCAGTTACGGCCTCCGCAACCTCCTCGGGAACCTCCACTCCCAGCTCGCAGAATGGCCCCATCCCTCCGTTTGTTCGAGCGCCGGAATCTCTGGAACCGCTCCTCAAGTCGCTTTCTCCGCGCGAAGTCTACCTTATTCACGTCGATACCTGCCCGGTGGACATTAAGAAACAAACCTTCATCGTGCCTTGTGCAATCAATGCCATCGTCGTCGTTCTCCTCGCGCTCCGAATCTACATGGTCCGCAACATGTATCCCGCCATGATAGCAGCACTGATCGGGATGAACAACTCTATGACGGTGGACACATCGACAATGGATTGGACCGAAGTTTCTATGGTGGCTCTGCGTCGCATAGGAACTGTCCTTATCGATTACTTCCTGCTGACTATCTTCCTGGCCTGGCCTATCCGCTTCCTCTTCGGTGCGGTAAGGTGGCGCCGCAACATCGGCTTCCGGCCACACGAGATCATTGTCCGGCGGAGCCAGCCTGACATGACTCAGGGCCTCAAACGTGATCGATGGATCCGCGAAGACGAGGAAACACGGGATAGGATCGTTGCGGCGGTTACGCCGGAGCGTATCAGAAAGACGGGATATTTGCTTATAGATCAAGATTTCGATCTCGATTACGACGCCATGATTAAGGCTCACGAGATGGTCGACAATCGTAAATCGGATGACAAGGTCTCATTGGACGAATTCCGCACGGCAGTGTTGGTGAATACAGATGCCCATGGCTGGCTGATCTGGCATGTAGGAGATCAGAACGAAAAGTTTAGCCCCGATACTAGCAATATCCCAGCCGACCCGGCCCGATCCGCCCAAAGAGATCAGATCTTGGTGTTCAAGGAAAAACTGACGGCCATGGGCAAGGAGGACCTTTTCTACCGATGGGTTGAGTTAGTCCAGTACGAGAGTACCCAGCCGGGCGGGTTCACGCCGGAAAGGCAACAGTCCGCCATGCTGCAGGTCAAGCAGCTCTTCGAAGAAAACGACGTCGATTTCTCCAAGTTCTGGGAGGATGTGGGTGGGCTGGAGGAGTTCACCGAGCAGCTTGATTAGACACTGCATCTCTCCTTCATGAAGGCATTTTTCTTCGCTTCGATCTCTGTCTATCCAACCTATTGCAGAGAACCTTGAGGATGCCAGGCGTTCAAAGCCGCTCGAAGCGTCCGTCGACTCACCTCTTCGGATTCGCTTCCTCCGCTGGTGAGACAAGCCGAATGGTGGGTGCCAGCCTGCTTGTACGCCTATAATGCTCCGGCAGACGCCAACAAGATTGCCAGCTAGAACGCCGGCGAGGACCACACCTATGCAAAGTTCTCCTCTATAACTTAAGAGAACGCAGGCTTCCTGCGGCACTGCTTTGACAGCGGAATATTCGTTTGATCCCAATAATCACACCCCCTTTTTGCTTCCCTCTTCGCTCCCTTCTTCCTTCCCCACCTCTTCTAGTCGGCATCCCGTCGCGTTTGCACTTTGTCACATGTTGACTCTTGGCAGCCGCCAACATCACTACTTAGTAGTACTATTATCGGCGCCAGAAGAATACCGAGAATGATCATGCAGGAGTATTCGATTGGACATGAACACCGCCCCTTTAGCCCATCACTGCGCACCGGGTTTGGCACCTCACAGGCACCTCCCGAGGCAGGCCCACAACTCGCATTCCTTTTGCCTTCGCTTTGCACACTGCTCCAATCCCTCGCAGTTGGCTACAACGACGGGCCCCACCGGGAACGACGTGGCGGGCAGCGTGGGACCAAGTGGACGATGATGATGAGAAGGTTGCATTGTTTGGATTACCCTGCTTCTAGTTGAGGGGGGTTTATTGTTTTGGGGGTGGTGGAAAGGCTATGTAAAACTGGGATCTGTTTCTAGAATGTGTGCTGTATACTGTGAGTATTCGAGGCTGGGTATACTTATAAGAGAGATGGTACTACTTACATGGATTGTTTTAATACTAGAGTTGCACTCTTTTTCTCTTCGTTATTGGGGCATAGTGGCAAGGAGAATACTCCTGTTAACATCAAAGTAGCATACCTATGGAAGTCGATGGCACGAATACAGCTCGATATTTCGTGCAGGCACAGATTCACCATGAGCCAGGTCACCCATGTCATCTCTTCTGTCTTACTCATAGTAGCGGCAGCTTCACTATCATAAAATCTTGCTTTTTAAGTTGACCTTTCCATGCCTAATGCAATGAGGCAGGCATGTGCATCATGCTCGCTCCTACGTCTGCATTCCCAGAGCTCGGGAGGAGAAAGGGCCACTTGCAGCAGTGCCGCACCAATGAGATAGTATACGACCTGGTTGAACGCGGGCTCATTATTAGAAATATTGTCTATAATATTCCCGCCAATGCAGGTCAGAGCCCACGCCTTTCAGATATTCTGGGACTGGCAGCCAATTTACATTTTTGGACTTATTACGGCTTAACATGCTTGCAGAATTGCACATAGTGACTGTTAGAGGGATCAGAAGTACTAGAAGTAAAACAGAAAGCAACAATAATATCTACATCGCTGACTCGAACGCTCAAAGAAACTAGAGAACAATAATCAGTCGCTCAACCACAGAACCATGACACCTGGTAACCCCCATCTGCGCCATATGGTGATAAATCAAAGCAGATCATAAGTAGACAGTTGTAATGACATCACAAACTTTACTTTGCTTCTATCTGCCTCACACCCACCTGCAACATCTTGAATCCCCACTGCTGCATCTTGAACTGGTCAAACACACCATAAGGATCCAAGAACACCTTCGGGCTCTGCATCTGACCCGCAATGCCCTGCCATCGAACCTTCTCATGTCCGAACGTCTCCCAGTCCGTGTGAAGAATAACAGCACTGCATCCCGCGCATGCCGTCTCCACTGAGTCGGCCACTGTGACCGTCTCAAGAGATGCATTGCTCGCACGCAGCGTGTTCTCCAGCTGGTCTGCAGGTATAAACGGGTCATAAATGCCCACTTTTACCCCGTTCTTTGACAAGTCCCGGACCAGACCCAGCGCCACAGAATACTGGTTGTTGTTCTCCTTTGGGGTAAACCCCAGAACCGCAATCTTCTGCTCCGTGAGGTCGCCGGATAACTGCGACAGGACTCGTTGGGAGATACGTCGATTGTGCGAATCGTTCATGCGCAGGACAGCGCGCCAGTACTCTGCCACTTGCTGCAGTCCTAGCTCTCGGGCCAGATATACTAGGCACAGCACCTCAGTCTGCAAGTGCGAGCTGCCGAATCCAAAGCCGACTCGTTGCGGTAACCCGAGGGTCTGGGTGATGTGGTTGATGTTGGCGTTGGTGGATTCACAAATAGCGCTCAGCGAGTGAAGACTGCTAATTTGTTGGGCGAGGAATGCGTTGGCGGCAATCTTGCCCAGTTCCGAAGACCATGCATCCATGGTGATAATGCGCTCTTCTGGGACCCAAGGAATGTAAAGCTTCTTCAGTGCGCTCAAAGCTCCTGGGGACATGTCTTCCGAGAATATGTGCCCGATAATAACGCGGGGAGGGTAAAGGAGGTCATGAAGGGCTGTGCCTGGAACCAAGAAGTCGGGGTTGGACAGCACATCGAATGAAGCGGATGGAGAAGCGGTTTTTCGCAACTGCTTTCGTTAGAATGATGTTGCTACATTTGACAGTATACTCACAATCTTCTTCATTCGCTGAACGACACCACATGGAGCGGTGCTCTTCTGCACGATAATCTTGTGGCCAGTGGATACTTGAGCGATCGCTCGGATTGCAGACTCCAACTGCGACAGATCTAAGCGCTCTTTTTCGTCAATCTATACCAATCATCAGCTTCTTCTTCCACATGCAAGCAGACGCCTTACTGTTATAGTTGAGAATATCTCTGAACATAGGAAGATCAGGTCTGCTGCGGCCACGCCTGCGTGGACGTTTGTGGAAAATGTCAAGTTCGTCAGTTTCCTCTTTCGAGGCTGACTACAATCTGAAGCTATAGACTGATCCGGGATAGCTGACGCATCTAGATTGAGACTTGATATCTCCTCAAACAACATCTCCTCCAACCCAGGCTCAAACACTGGGGGCCGATCGGAGTTCCACGCGTTAATGAGACCCGCATCATTGTCAACGACACTGAACTGGATGTGGGGATTCTGAGAGGCGAGTACAACCGCCGTCAATGCACCTGGCCGACATTAGCTATCCTTCCGAGATACTGGCAGGTGAGAGCAGCGCGCTTACCCACATGTCCAGCCCCAATGATACAAGCACTCCGAACATGCTCAACTTTCTTACTCTCCAGAGGCTGAAGCTCGGTCTCATCCACACTATCAGAGTACGTATGCCCCTTAACAACCACCGGCGGCTCAGCGCTCTCGATAGCTTTATAACGACGTCGCGAAAAAAACAAAGTTATACTCGCCAGGACGAAGAGTAGCGGAATGAATGGCATCATGGCGGCGCATCCGTAGTATCAACTAAACTAACTGACCACCCTTTTTCTCTCTCTCTCTTTCTTTCTCTCACTTTTCCCTCCCCTTGACCACCGGTCGAAACGCATGCTCCGCAAGAAATAAAACCAAGAGAGAACGATCGAACGCGTTGTGGGTGGTTTGGGCGTGTCGTGGCCAAAGGGCGGTCTGGTCGCAAACTAGCCACTTCATCGCGAGCCATCATTGCCCCAAAAATCATCCGACGGAGTTACGGTCGCGCCATTGGACATGGCTTTTGTGTCCATCTACGTGGACGTGCTCGTGGCGCTACTCAAATCCACCCTGGACTACCACTACTGAACTGCCTTCTCCAGTTGATTGGAACAGCGGGTCCAGATGATTGTTGATTAACCCTGACCCACTCATTGCAGTGTTGTCCTAATTTAGAATGTAGCCTCACTCTTTGGCCATATCAAGTCAGTGCTGGATACAGGGTTATTTTTAGTTTACCTGCATTGCAATTGCATGTGCTGCTCTCCAGGAAAATAATGGCAAACACCAGTCAACGGGATTCAACGTGGATTGTGACCGTGGGACTGGTCCGCATAGGATGCGACTGCGACATGCGTCAGTCACCCATCACTGAGATGATGTTGTTTTTCAACATGAGGCTATGCCAACGACGAGGGACAACGTACCGTGAGTGGTATATTAGGACGTGGATGTAGATTAGATATGAACTCTATCTAGTACCTACCCGCGATGCTGCTGCGTTGCATGGCACCATTGGATGCATCGAGCTTGAAGTTCGCTGATGAAACAAGACCACTTACAATAATCACAGCAACTCAGTGTCCCACAGCACGTGTGGGTAACCTTATCCAGCCTGATTTAGAAAACCAGGACCATTTATGCTCGCATTTTCCTCGACTGCCTAATCACTGATCTGATGGACACAGCACTTGACACACTAACACTCGCAGGACCTTCCGCCGACTTCTGCGAATTGCACAAAAGAATGCGACTCCACTGCCGTTGTTCAATCGCTTCACCAACATCCGTTTTCTCCCCGTATCAACAATGCCAAGGCTCGGTCGGAGCCGGACTAACGCTAGTCCGGGGAGTTGTTACTACCATCGGAACTCATCCCGATTTCGGCATGTAGAATAGGAGGCCTGGATGAGGAAATAATATTCATACACAGTACCTACAATTCTCACCCGCAGTGCCATGTTCCGGCTAGCTTGCAGGACAAGGCCGCTGCGGTCTTCGGCTCCCCTTCGCGCCGCACGCTCAGTCTCATCCGTTGCGCCGCCGTTAATTCGGATACAGAATGCCACATTCTACGAGAACTATCCCACTCCCGAAGATGCCGCCAAAGGCCGCAATCCTCCCCTTTTTCCTGACTTCAACTTCGTTTTACCCGCCAAATCCACCCCTGCTCAGGACGGCGGCGATGCTCCGCAGACCTGGGCGGTAATTGGCTCGGGGGGAAGGACGCAGATGCTCGACGTTCTTCGTGGTCAATACATTTGCACACCGCCCACAGCGCGCAGCTATCCGTACCTCCTCAGCGACGAGATCGCCGAAAAGGATCACCGCCTACGGTTTGCGGGCAACGCAATACAATACATTGGCTTCAGTGGGGAAGGTTCTGGCGCCATTGGAGGCACTCGCGGCGCGTATCTGAGTGCCCGATACGAGAGTCTCCGCGAGGAAACCGACTGGACAGCTCGCCAATATCTCAGAGGCCAAACTTCCTTGAACCCGTTGGAATCCGAACAAGATGGAAAGATACATGATGAGCAGCTGCTGGCGCAGATTGTTTCGGAGCTCCGGCTGGAGGAATTACTCGATATGCCGGTTGCCAACTTGAGCAATGGTCAGACCAGACGGACTCGGATTGCCAAGGCCCTCCTCAGTAAGCCTGAATTGCTCCTCCTTGATGATCCGTTCATGGGCCTGGATCCCGCTACCGTTCGAAGCATCTCAGCCCTGCTCCGGCGCTTGGCGGCCAAGTCTGATCCCCGCCTGGTTCTCGCTCTCCGGCCTCAGGACCCCTTGCCCGATTGGGTCACGCATATTATGGTGCTGGGGAACTCCCACCGGGTCCTTCTACAAGCTCCCCGCGCGGAAGCGGAGAAGGTGTTCAACGTATGGAAGAAACTAGGCAGTTATGAGAAGCCGACTGCCAAAGAAGATCAGTGGGTTCACCACACCTACGAACAGGCTAAGGAATACATCGATGCAGGCCATCTCGATCGCCAACTCATATGGGACATGCGGCTAGCTCCGCCACAAGGAAAGGGTCGCGCTGCTCCATCCTTCCCTATCAAGGGCGGTGAACCACTGATCGAAATGGACGGCGTCCGCGTACAATACGGTGATAAATGCGTCTTGGGCGACTGGACCCAGCACGTGCACAACAAACCCCAAGCTGGCCTGCACTGGACAGTTCGGCGCGGGCAACGCTGGGCCGTGCTCGGTGCCAACGGCTCCGGCAAAACCACTCTGCTCTCTCTCATAACCTCGGATCATCCCCAAACCTACGCTCTTCCTATCCGTCTCTTCGGCCGCACCCGACTCCCCGAAGCTGGGAGACCAGGCCTCTCGATCTTCGAGCTCCAATCCCGCCTTGGCCACTCTTCTCCCGAAATCCACGCCTTCTTCCCCCGTCAACTGACCATCCGACAAGCCATTGAATCAGCTTTCGCGGAAACCTTCCTCGCTAAACCCACTTTGAATCATGATCGTGACCTGGACGTCAGCGCCATCCTCCGCTTCTTCCGCGCCGAACTTGACCCCGATGTCTCCAACATCTCCCAAAAACCTACCAAAGTCACTACTCCCCGCGATCTCTTTCCCACCCTCGTCAAATCTGACACCGACTTCTACAATCCCGACCACGGTGTTGAGTATGCCGACACGGTTCGCTTCGCTGAGCTGAGCACTGCTCAACAGCGCCTGGTCCTGTTTCTTCGCGCTCTCGTTCACCGACCTGATATCGTCATCTTAGACGAAGCCTTCTCCGGCATGCCTGCCTCCATCCGGGACAAGTGTCTAAACTTCATCGAACATGGCGAGTTCGTCACTAAACGAGTTGTCAAAGTCCACCCTGCACCCGAGGATGCTCGGTTCCGTGGACTCACGGATGATCAAGCTTTGGTCATGATCTCCCATGTGAAGGAGGAAATTCCTCCCAGTGTGCGCTACTTCATGCGGCTACCTTCCGATGCGGGGGAGTCGTTAGATTTTAGATTTGGTACACTAAAGCCGGGGAGTAGACTGAGCGAGCCAGTAGTTTGGGATAAGGCTTGGGCGGCGAATTTCCAGGAAGGTGCGGTACGTGCTGAGGTTGAGAGTGTGGCGGAAGGAGAGGCGGTGCGGGAGGATTTTGAAAGATTCGAGTGGTACTCTATATGAACGGTGGACGAGTAGTATATATATACATATAGATTTCAAGAGACCTCTCTGGATCTCGATTCGGTGCACCTCTTCAAGCGCAAGAAGCAAATTTGAAGAGGTGATTCGATTCGATTGCTGCGAGCGGGTTGAGGAGGCCTCTACTGCGTGGCTCGTTCAGCTGCTGATTGGGGAAAGAAAGGGTAAGCCTCCGACCCCCCGACGTAGACAGGCGTGTAAGATGATAGCTTGGCCATGACCCGAAGTCTCGGCAGGCGGCAGCGACACATGCGAATTTACTCTTTCGTAGCAAAACAGGTTGTTGTATTATCTGCCAATGACTTCTTCCTCTCCTCTCTGCTACGTGCAGCGGTTTCTTTATTCATATTGCGTTCGCATTATCCCTTACTCTGCTCCGCACGTAGTTTCGCCACCTGACAGTTTCAATTTGGACTCCAAATCCGGCAAAGTATGCAGATCTCAGCGCTGAGTCGCAGCGACGACTTTTTCCTACATCTGCAGCATGCGGTTGTGTTTATGGGAATCTGAGGGGCTTGGCAGCATTCTTGTCACTTCTTGCTTCAGACAATGAAGCACGTGCATGCTAGCATCTTACATATCGAGCTCGGTCGAGTCATGATATAAATTGAATTAACAGTCTCATGTTGATTGCTAGTCCAGCTACTCTTCATCAAAACTTCGCTGTACACACCAAGTGGGAAATCCCGAAACAAAGGGTCAGCAGACTACGTCAGGCCAATTTTCCGCAGCTGTGCAAATCCCTTACACCGTATCTCACCTTGCATCGAAAGGAAAACTGTCATGGAGAAAAGCGGTGAAAGATGCATTTGTTGCCATTGTTGGATGTCGGTCAGGAAGAGCCATACACCCTTCTGGTTGACTGTGGTCTCGGGGTGGACGGAGTTCAGGTGCAGGTACAGCGACTGGCAGGACACTTGGAGCACTTGCTGCGAGAGCTGTGCCTGGACCGGGCCGGACGGATTTCGGTCGAGGTCGGCGGGCTACTAGATAGGCCCCGAGGATCGACGCTAACTGCAGGCATGGAACGGGAAGGTCCCGGTGCGGGTGGATCCATGCGTGTACAGGCTGATCTAGTATCGGATGGGCAGTTGTGCTGTGTGTGCTGGGTGGTAGGCTGCAAGGAGCATGAGCAGTTGGTACCAATTGGGGCAGTAGGCGAGCTGCTCATCGAGGGACTAATAGTCGGATATGGTTATCTTAATATTACAGAACAGACAGGAGCAGCATCCACTTAACCCTCATCCTGGCCGTATGATTTTCGTCCTGGCTGCCAGGTGGAAGATCTTGGCCTGCTGTACAAGACAGGTGACCTGATGCAGTAGATGGGTAATGGATCATTGAAGTTTATCAAACGCAAAGATATCCAGACTCAGATCCGGGGGCAGTGTCTTGAGCTTAGTGAGGTTGAGCATCACACACGGCAATGTTTCCCTAGGCGCGCGATGTGGTGGCGTTTGTTTGGAAGGCTGTTGTGGATGGTCTCAAAGCCAAGATCCTGGAAACTGAAATAACTAACGAAAGGGGATTGTTGGGCATGATGCAGACGAGCTGCTGGCCGCGCCCACTGACGCCTTCTGCGTAGCTGTTTCCGAGGCCGAGGCAGCGCTCCACAATACCGTGCCAGCCTACATAGTACCGGCCCTCTTTCCGCCCATTGTAGCTATCCCACTGACTGCTACGGGCAAGGTTGACAGGCGGCGGGTGAGGGGGTAATACGGAAGCGCTATCACGCGCGAAGCTCGAAGTATATCACAGCACCGCGGTGGCCAACCGCAACCCCAGCACGCCAGCGGAGCACATCCTGCAGCAATTCGGGGTCAAGGTCCTCTACCTTTGCTTGACGTGGACGTGCCTGACTCTGCCTCTTTCCATCAGGAAGGCAGGGGCAGGGGAGGGTTGGATTATAAGGGTCTAGAATTTATGTAGAAACTCATGAACTAGTGGAATACATAAAGGAGCGACCGAGTGATGGCTGCGACAGTGATAACGGAAGTACTACTGGAAATCGTGTACCTACTAGTATATAGTGCTATCCTCTTTAGACTGCTATAGTATTGTGATATCGGCATCGGGCCGTTTATTTACCACTACAAAAAGAGCGGGGGTCCAATGCCAGTCGGATTATCTTTTGTCCCGACCCGGTCCCGCATTCTGCCGCCTCGTCAACTTGTCGCCTCAGGCAGAGTCCGCCACCGCGTTCCGGTTCACGCCACAACGTGGGCAACGGCTGTTCTGAAGTCCTCCGTACAGTGTTCTACGGAATCCTGCCATCTCTTGGATCCCGCTATACTTCATTATGCCGTGATCGACCGCATACCGTTCATCCCTTGTTCCCATATTGCTCTGAATTCTCATTCCGGAATTTTGCCCCTCCGCCGCCGATCCGACCTGTCATATTGCCTATCGTGCAGATAATCGTGCAGCGACGGGAACGCCCCCATCAATATGGACCCCGCCGTCCTGCGCGAGGTCTCCCGCGTCGATCCTGTGGTTCCTTTCCGCGCAACCACCCATCATCTCCATCATACTTGGGCGCAGACCTTCTACTCGCGTCCCGAACTTTACGTGCGCCCGCAGTCTATTGAGGAAATTCGGAAGCTGGTCAACCTCGCTCGTCATTGTCGGCGTCGTCTGGTCACCGTGGGGAGTGGCCACTCCCCCTCCGATCTGACCTGCACCTCTGCCTGGCTGGTAAATTTGGATGATTTTAATCGGGTGTTGGAGGTTTCGCCGGAGACCGGGGTGGTGACCGTTCAGGCGGGGATTCGGTTGAGAGACTTGGGCGCACAGCTGGAGAAACATGGCTTGACTTTGTCGAACTTGGGTAGTATTGATAGTCAGTCGGTCGCGGGTGTGATCTCCACGGGTACCCATGGAAGTTCTCTCCAGCATGGCTTGATCTCCGAGTGTATCTTATCGCTGACTCTCATGCTGGCTAATGGGCAGCTGGTGCGGTGTAGCGCGACCAGTAACCCGTCGCTGTTCCGGGCTGCGCTGATTTCTCTGGGGGCACTTGGTATCATTGTCGAGGTCACGCTGCAGGCGGAGCCCGCGTTCAAGGTGGCCTGGCGACAGACGCGACGCAAACTGTCGAGTGTGCTGGCCGAATGGTCATCCGGGTTGTGGACATCGCATGAATTTGTTCGGGTATGGTGGATGCCCTATGAGAAGAGTGCGGTTGTCTGGCACGCCGACAAAACCGACCTCCCGCTGCGAAACCCGCCCAAGTCCTTTTATGGGGAGACACTCGGTTACCATATCTACCATAATTTGCTGGCCCTGGCTAACTATTTCCCTCGTATCCTCCCGTGGGTGGAATGGCTGGTGTTTGGTTTGCAGTATGGTTTCAAGCCGGAAGCCATCGTGACGGAGGCGGTCGAACCAGCCCGCTCTGGTCTCCTCATGAATTGTCTGTACTCGCAGTTTGTCAACGAATGGGCACTCCCGCTTGAAAAGGGCCCCGAAGCCATCACTCGTCTCTCCGCCTGGTTGAATGGTGATCTCGAAACAGCGCGTATCCCTTTTTCCGTCGACGGTCTGTGGGTGCATTGCCCCATCGAAGTCAGAGTCGCGGACTCTACCTACAACAAGACACCCCGTCCGTTCCTAGATCCTACCTCTTCCAGCGGACCGACCCTGTATCTCAATGCGACGCTCTATCGCCCGTACCATCGGGATCCCCCCTGCACGGAACGGTATTACGAGGCATTTGAGTGGCTTATGCGCGAAATGGGCGCAAGGCCGCATTGGGCTAAGAACTTCCGGACATCGAGGGAGGAGCTGAAAGATCTGTATGGAGAGGATATGGTGGAATGGTTAAAGGTGCGCCAAGATGTGGATTCCGACGGCATGTTCCTTGGTGAATGGCATTACCGAAACCTCGCCTTGCCAGGTACTGAGGACGAGTCAGAACCGGCCGTCCTTCCGCTTCTCGAGCGCGAAAAGACTCGCCGGAAGGCAGACGTTCGGGGATCCGGTGACGGCATGGAGTGGATCGGACACAAGCAATGGCAAGGGAAGCAGGGTCGCCAGGCTGCTACTTTCGTGCCCGCGCTAGGAAACGAGAAGATCCAAGGGTCATCAGACGAGATTATTCTCAGTCCTCCCACAACAGCAACCAGTGAAGAGAGCTTTGATCTTCTGGCGGCGGGAGAGGCTAGTGTTGTTCTTCCTGAATCTGGCATGTGAGGGGGAAAAAAAAAAGAGTTGAACAAGGAGGCTTGGCCAAGTAGCAATCATATTAGCGCGCGCCTCCCACCTTTGTGGGTTATCGACCGGAATGGCCGACTCGGAGATTTCTGTTGGCCGGCCAAGATTCAGGTGACCGTGTATTTCATTGCCTCACTGCTGTGTTCTTTTCTCTCTTCATTTGTTTCCTTTCATACCTTTCCCTGTTAATCCTCGGCCCTGTTGTTCAAAGTCATTCATTTATAATCTTACACCGGGTCGAGCCCGCTATGTAAGATGCTAGTTATGCAGGTGCGTTGTGAAGCATGAATCTTGCCCTGAACGCCGTCAAGCCCTCGGGCCTCGCAGAAACACATGAGGTTGGCGAAACAATGCGTGCCGCGGGATAGTAAGATCGTCGCCACAGCTAAACACAATGAAAGACACCACGAAAGCATAGAAGGAACCATAAAATATGATATCAGATACATTTTTTGCGTACCAGATATTACGATTTTGAAAGTTGCGGGTTCATTGACTCCATGGGCGCGTAAGTTCATAGAATCATAACAGGAGCCTACAGTAGGATATCTGAATTAGTGTGGTGCCACTTTCGTTCGATAGATTCAGTAATGTTTACCACAGGTACTCGTACTACTAGTACTGTTACTCATGAGGGAACATGATGATATACTAATTTAAGGGTCTCTCACCATTTAGAACTGGAATGCTACCTAAGACGGAATAAAGCGGCATCCTTTCTCAAGTCTGCCAAATTATAATGGGTTCAAGCAACAGTGTCTCAATCTCTATCCATATAGACTTAACTTGCGTTTATTAACCCGAATAGCTCTAGCGCTCCTGCAATGTATGAACAGATACAATAATTATCAGCATGTCTAGCTAAAAGAGGGCGTCACCATTACTACTCCTATCATCTTGAAAGGCCCGGGCACTTGGTACACTACAGCTCCTTGCATGTTCAGCTCTCCATGCCTTAGACTCTTCAGCTCTTTCTAAGCGCCACTTCCGTAGTCTAACCTAAATTAGGCTTAGATCGTAATTTGAGTAATGTGACGGGAGGTTTTAGGCTGGACTTCGTTGAGTCTGCTAGTATGGGCCTGACGTTTGGCATGGCATACCAGTCTCTTATTGACAGGCTGGAGATTAAGCAGAACGAAAACGTTGGTATTCTGATTGTGAGTCTCACTAAATCCCTGAGCCAACGTTGTAGTGACTATTACTACCTTGGTTGGCTTATGAGCACACATCTAACTGTTTTAGATCAATGGCGGAGGTGGAGTTGGAAGCGCTGCCATCCAAATCGCCAGGAAGGTTCTGCAGCTCCCCGTGGTGATTGCAACTGCATCCCGACCTGAGACCATGGACTCATGCAGAATGGGTGCCACCCATGTGGTGAACCATAGGGAAGATCTCGAATCCCAAATCAAAGCCTTGAATCTGGATGTCCCAATCAAGTACGTTCTGAACCGTCTTACTGTCGTGGCATGCGCTTAAAGTGCTGACACTAATGAACTCAGATACGTTTATGTGGTCGCAAGGACGGAGCAATATATCCACGTCCTAGGCAAGATCTGTGCACCCTTCGCCAAAGTTTGCTCCATCGTGCAAGCCAAGTTCGATCTCTACGGGACGGAGTTCATGTCGAAGTCCATGACCTTCTCTTGGAACTGGCTGGGCACGGCAGCTTATCATCGTACAATATTGGAGAACTATCAACGAGCTTTCGAGGCGTTGGCCCATTACGTAGACGAGGGGAAGCTGGTACCTAACCTTAATAAGCGTCTCAAGTTGAATGTTGCTGGATTGAAGGAAGCTCATCGGTTGATCGAGTCTGCGACCACCGTGGGAAAGATTGCTCTTGGGGTGGATGAACCTGGCGAGGCGCTCCATTTTCCTGAAAAGGGTTGCTCCCCATAACAAACTTCCACTGATGACAACGTTATGTGTGGGTGGATTGATATTTATGAGATTCAGTCAAAATGTATTCAATAAGACTTTATTGTGTATACATGCTGCTTGACAAAAATTCTCGAGTCATCTGATGGACTACAAACAAATCGGTGATTGATCATACCACCACTCTTTACTTCAGTGTTTGTCCAATCAGTTCGACTAAGAAAATGCCATTTCCCCAGAATCAATTCATCCAGATTGTTGGTAATATAGGCGCTGAGGTGGCATCCTATTGATATAGCTCTCGGATTACCTGATACAGGTCAGGCAGGCATCACGAAGCTAGTACCAACTGTCTCCCAAGTATGTATTCAACTCGAAATGAAGATACTTTGGGTTTCCTCTTTCTCTGTCTTTTGTTGTATCCTTACGGATATATACTGTTCGTGCTTATGAGCAGGTGCGCGGTTCGTACTAATGTTGTGGTTGTTAGGAGAATCCTGCTAAGGCTTCATAGGCTTGCGTTTGAAGGACTATCTCACTGGCTCCATCCACTCTTGGTGGTTGTTCCTGGTAATTATATTCTTTTCACCACGGCATCTCAGATGGCTGCGTGGAAAGGCCAGAGAGCCCAGTTAGATAGTATATAATAATAGTATAGACTGTATAGGACTTCTTCATATTTATGGTGTGAGGTAGAACTGTCAGGTATAGCCACTCTAATATTTAGTACTATATAACGAGAATTTGTAACATTAAGAAGAAAAGAAAGAAGTATGAAAAATATATATATAGTTATCTAAACATAAAAAGTGACGCTACATGTGCAAATAGAACAAGAATGGAGTGTCTGTTTCTCAAATCAGTCTTTAACTACGAGCCTCTGCTCCTCATACTCAACGATCAGAGTAAAGATATCGTTGCCGTTAACAGTGGCTGCATAGTAGCATCACGCGGGGCTGAGGCTCTTGAGGCTTCAAACTATACAGCGAACAGTCCATCCATGTATACTTCTGTGCGACTTCGTTCCACCGGTAATGGATCGGAAGGACTCACTCAAAGACGGGACCGCGATACTTGTATACATACACTATCTCAAACAGCACAAAGGCGTAACAGGATAATAGATTGAATCTTGACAGCCTTATATCATATCATAGTACTACCCACGGATCTCATGCTGCGACCACCACTACCATAACACAAAAGATTTCGCGCCCATGACCCCATGCCAGGCATACTCATTAAGGAAGCAGGCAGTAGTCATTGTGTCCAGCACCTGCATTTACACATCCAAGACCGCAAAAGTTCGCAACGGTGATTGATCCACCACTTCCACATTGAAATAGGTACCCGTATGGTATTTCTAATGCTCCGGTTGCAGAGCCGAGGTCACTCATGTCGGAGGCGGAGATGGCCTGCGGTATAAGAGTGGAATATTTGGCATAATATAGTAAATTGAGCAATAACCTAGCAGCCATATAAAAATAGTATTATAATAAACCGGGTAGCCATACCAATGTCTTCCAAAACAGACTGACAGTACATCATGCCTTCAGTGCAGTCTGTAGCCTGTACCGAGACTGCCAGGCCTAGGACGCTGGCGACGAGGGTGTGGAGGAGCTTCATTTTTGTTGGAAAAATTTGAGAGTCGGCTTTCTTGGGAAGATAACCTTGAAGAGGAAATGAGTAGAGGACTTATTGAGATGGCATGTTGAGTTAGGAGCAGTTCGGGGGAGCTGGGGGCTATATATAGCTTAGATCTGGAGAAGGGGTTTTGTGTACCTTGGGCATGTGAGTGCTGAATTGGATGTCATCTTTCTCAATCCGATACTACATCGTGCAGGACCAAAATATTGTGGCAAATTCTGATGCAGCTCGGATCACAGTCTTGCATAACTTAGGAGGGGCATGCTTCGCCACAGTCATGCCGTTCACTGTTCACTGTTCAAATGCCGATTGCGGTTTTACCTGTCCAGAAGTTCGTCTAAATGGTCAAAAAGCTATTGCCAGATTAGTGTCTACTAGAGGAAGGTCTTTCCCATTGACGAGGAGAGCTCTTTCAGAGTCTTGTTCAAAAAGCCTGTTTTGTATAGTTCATCAACAGTCAAAGCCTGAGAATGATGGTAGCGACGGACCACTTCTGCTATGGTCAAGGGCGATACCGGCACTTAGCAAGAGCATCACCATGGATTGGAAATAGGTCTGAAGGCCCACCACTGAGCTTACATTAGAACTATGCAAAGTCTACTCCCGTGTGACCAACGGCCAAATAGATTAGGGGGACATGGTGATGTGGAAAGCCAAGGCTCGGCTAATAACTAGTGCACGACCCTGGACGACTAACTGGCAACCAAAATCATCGAGCGACCACTCAGGGGAGCATCTAGGGAATATCTACAGACTGCATGAGCCACATTCACCGGCGGGGATCACTGATCTTCAGAGTCGGTGATCTTGATTTTCTACCCACTCCTCGCCCCTCACACTGACAATATACGAAAATACCCCCGTGCCGAGACAGCCTTACTGCAGCCCACACATGTACTAGATCATCTTCCATCAACCCAATCCGCTAGATTGTAATTGACGGATAATTGGCGATCTGATTCGAGATATCGGCATTCATCAAGAACTGAGTTGCCAGTATCTATGCCATCAAAATCAGTCTCATTCTACGGCCGAACTTAGGGGACTGTGTTCGCTGATCGATGTAGTTGGTTATATAACTTGCAGCTATTTTGATGTAAATCCATTCACAGTGTTATCATTATCCCGTTCACAGGGTATCTAGCAAATACTTTCAGAAACCTTTTCATCAATATTGCATTTCTCAAGTGGAACGGAACGATTAATATTTTTCCTTCTTCCCGGAGAAACTTCAGTCTCGGAGGCTGAAAGATGGGACAAATGAAGCCCTAGCCACTAGATACTCAGATGGTTGGTAATAGGATGGAGTGTTTTTACTATACTCGGTAAGAACACCGGTACCAAGTCTAGCAAGACCGCTCGGAATCTACAAAGTAGTACGCTTCAGCCATACTCGTTGGGGAGATCTTGGGCTAAGCTACCCCCACCTTCCCATGCACTAGTTTTTATAGTGTGTACGGTTAAACACAATAAACTGAGATCAAATCCCGCACGGTTATATTATTCTTCGATATTCATACAATCATCACCATTACACATGGGCCGCTTATCTTATTGGGTAAAAGCGGAAATGTTAATATAACTGCACTTTGTACCTGTCGCACTCGTTTTCCTTCTTTGGTTTCTGTACCCAACCGTTGACCTCTTATTATACCCTTCCCATGATTTTATCCGATCTTCCCACTCTTCTATCGAGGATAGCTGCGGATTACTTTCCGTTACAAGTCCCATTGCTACCCTGTCCACTAGACCAATGCTGAGTAATAACAACATAGGTATGTCCTGTATGAAATCGAAATCAAACATACCAATGGTGAAAAGTCCGGTCTTTAGCTATTATCTGGAGGCACAGCAAGTGCCAGTCTTCACAAAGGCAATACCTACCATTCTAGTGGTATTGAGGAGAATTATACAGTGTGTCTTGTACCTGGCATGATACTTATTGGACGATTGAGGAAAGAGTGCGGACAAAGGAAAACCTCCCAACTGGCGATATCGCGCAGTTACGGTGGGCCCAAAGAACACCAACCAGATCCGAATTGCTTGCCGAAATGAAGCCGAACACCAGCTGGTTAGGAACATTGCAGAAGTAATGGTTAGCGCAGGAATCTAGATGCTCTCGAATGATACTTATCCACGCAAAGTCAATAGCGTCAAGAAAGCAGCAGTACTAAATGAAGATAATAAGATTAGAGAAGGGACTGCAGCAATAATTTTCTATGAGGAAAAAATAGATCACATGGCTTAGTACTTACGGAGTACAGACAACAACAGTATCCGGAAGGCCGCCAATACCTAAAGACTGTAATACTCTTCTGCCAACAAACAGAGGCAGAGACAGGCTTCAGAGTGGAATTAGAGAAAGGGGGCCGATCGAATGGAAAGATTGTGATGTAATTCAACTATGAGTTGACACTTGCTATGGGGGCTACATGCAATCTTTGAGGCACGAACAGCCTTCGAGATATAAGAACAATAGTGATAGTAGCAGATAGCTATCGAAAAGAAAGAGCGGATCTCAAATTCGAACGCCCGGTGGGTACAACATCACTTATGTCTCAAATAGCGCGGCCACCCCCCTACTGCATGTTGAATGCACGTACCAAGCTAGGCGTCAGACTGTTGAAGTAAGATTCGTTGTTATCAGCAGCCCAGTTGGACTAAAATTTTCACGGTCTGTGGCGGGCAGCGTTGATAATGGAATCTTATCGTGCTTGTCAGCCTGACGTTATCAGTCAAACTTATGCTGTACTCACTATCACTAGCCTTCCACGACCTTCACCGACAGAATATAAGGATCGTCGGAGTTGTAGCTGACTGTATGCACGCCAGGAAGGAAAACAGTAAGAGAGTATCGGTCGGTGGCATCGATGAAGTAATATGTACTCCCAAAAGTTCCTTGCACTTCGCTCACAACAATATCGAGTTGGTACTTGTAGATCAAGCCATCAACATCAAAGAGTTTGTATTGGCTGATACCTGTTTCCTTCTCGAAGTCCGAATCAGTTTGCTTCCACGTAGCATCGCCCACCGGCCAGCCAGCATCATATGTGCCCGATCGGGCAGCACATGCCAGTTGGAAGAGCCCGAGAAAGAGGAAGAAAAGATAATTCATTGTTTTGATTGCGGGGGGTATACTCAATGGGGAGATGAGATTGTGAGGGTGGAAGGAAGAACGAGCACACCTTCTATCCTTAGAAACGCCAGCACTTGCATACTTCGGTGCCATGGTATATTGCAGCACGGGCGGTTTACTAGTCACAGAAGGCTCAGATGTACATACATAGTCTGTATGTATACGGTCTGGATTTGCTTCTCTCATGATCGCAATACAACAGAGTATTGTCTCTGCTCCCTGGACTTATCGCCCTACGCGCCAAGAGATGTTGCGTGATTCGGCTGAAGGGTGGAAACCCGCGTACGGCTGAGCCGTCGAGGTCGACTTCAAGTAGAGGCGGGGTTTCGGAAGATGCTTGAATGCATGACAGGGAATAGAAGGGAGTGTGATATTGGTTGCTTTCAGCTTCCCAGCTTTGATCGGCGATTGCTGATGCATCTCACTACCAGTTGATGAATCAATGGGGCTGGGAACATTCCTTCAGAGCCATATAATCCTATTGGCTATGATTGAGTGGGACTAGGTTACATTGCATGCTAGCGGTGGTCTTGCTACATAAATATACATACTAAGGACTGCCGATATTGCTCTCTGTTTCAACCAAATCCCGAATGTCATCTGATTGGATTGCTCTGCCGGAGACTTTCTAAGCCAGATAGATCTGATGGTCAACAAATCAGAGCATGTAACCCATGAATTTGAGGATGTCTGTGCCCTGAACAGGGAAGATAATGACTGACTGATTAATATAATGACTAGCCAGACTATTACACAAAGCATTGTTCCAGTTGCACATGGATTAATTCTTTCCCTGCCATGACTACTACTAGCCACCGTACTGCATCGGAAGGAGAAAGGCATCGGCACTGAAGTAGCCTATATGATGGAAAATATTCCTAAGGATCGTGCGTGAAGCTGACGGACGTAACCCGCGGTTAGTTTCTCATACAAAGCAGTCAGTCCCAAGACGGTGACGGAAAATAGATCGGATTGGTGGATTTCAATGCGCAGGTCACTAATATGTCTATACCCACAATTGCAATGAAGCGCACATCGAGCTGAAGGCTGCAGTCCATTTTAAGTGTAAACTCATTTGCCCTTGGAAGAGCTAATTCGTCGAAGATGGGACTTACTATAGCTAGCACCATGCGGAGGTTACCGACAGTCCAAGTATTTAAGTGATGAGCTCAGCTGAATCACCAACCGAGATAATATCAGAGAGCCACGGGCAAAAGACAAAGGAGTAACCGAATATCGCGGAGAACGCTCTCGTAGCAATCAGTGCTATGGAGCTGCTGAATTAATTATATACGAGGTCTTGTTATGGTTACCGCACAGGGCTTACCTCTGTAATGTAGTTTTGTCTGAACTCATTTGTTCAGCTGCGTATGAGCTGAGGATAATTTACTATGTAGTCAGTCATCGATGTCTCTGTTCACCATACATAGAGGGTTGTCCGACAAAGATGGTGGGATTTTTTCCTAAAACTGAATGAAGTGCCCGACATCCTGGACTGACAGAGGAAATATCCCCGTGCTCAAGAAGTTGACTGATTACCCGAGACCGGTTAAAGTCAACGAACTATTCAGAATGGAAGTAAATCGTTTCCTATAACAGCTGCACCTATTTATCTTATAAATAATACATCTGCTATCTATGTATATGTGCAGCGCCCGGGATCATCGACCAGCGAGATAACTGATTACAGTACGAGGATACTGTCCACACATTACGAGAAAATTCTTTTTCAGATTCTTTGGCTTCACCTGAATGACGCCATTGCTGAATGCTCAACCTAACAAGCGCTTAACCGGTCTCTTAGTTCTGGGATAGTTAACTCTGCAACCTCATTTTCAGTGGACCAGTAGGCTCCTCGAGGTTCACCAAATATATTCGGGATAACTAGCTGACCTACCATTTGACCCACCATTACCTCGCCCCTCATTGATCCAATTCAGCTTGGTGGTCGAGGCAGCTTCAATACCTCGGCCCATGGGAAGAACGCCATCGCATGCCCCCATCCCTGGTTATTACGGTCGTAAACGCACGCCATCCGTGTTTAGCATCTTGTCGGACCATGTACGTGAGGGGTGTTTTTTCCCTTATACGAATATCTATCTGATCAACTAGATTTCCAAGATGATGAACTAGTCACCTGGAGGATGAACAGCTGACAATCTCCAGGCTGCCTTATCTATCTGATTGAATGGAAGGTGACTCTGCCGTATGAACATGAAAATATACTATAGCCTACAAATACGATAGAATATACTAATGAATCAAGATATCTTTACATTAGCATTATATCCGGTAGTTTGAGATATGTTTAACTGATAGTATTAATACAAATAAAATGTGAAATAGCTATACTAACCTGTTAATTTCTGGTTTAAAAAACACCTTTAGTGCTTGACATATAAATATAATCTTAGTGCACTAAACACTAGACCAGAAACGATGTATCGCGTCTAGTCAACCAGGCGACGGAGAGATATGTGTCCCAACATATAATAATAGAAATATATGATAACCTGTATTGTTTGATGTTTCCGACTCTAACACTAGTCAGAAAATATTAAGTTTTCAAATAATAAAGTAAACTTGATGTCTTCCTAATCAATATAGTAGACAGCACGTACGTAGAGATATATAGAGATAAAAAACTAGAAGTCAATCCAAATAAACGCTTAGATATATACCATTGAACAACATTCCGCCGGTGACAATATTATGTAAGGGTTGATTGTACTTATGGATTTCAGTCAAAATGCATTGGATAATTCCTTATTGCCTATACTTCTTGCTTGATATTGACACCGGGGACGGGTTCGAGCAGAACAGCAAGGGACAGGTTGAGTTCCTGGAAAAGTGATTTGGCTCTTAGGCCACGACAGCTGCAACAAGCTCCAGATTGAACTCTCAATGATCTTCCTGGATAGAGAAAATGTGACCCAACTTTGACATCCTTTTTGTTGCAAATAGTGCTTTCTCGCATTTGGAGAGTCCACATCGTCCATAATTTACCGTCGTCTATGACTCATCGTATGGCATTTGGAAGTTGCGACATACTTGACAAGATACCAGGCCCGACACAAATGATAATGATTCGAGAGATAAAATTACTATTGACAGCTCGGGATGCCCAATTTTCAATTCCATATCATTACATCAAGGCTGCGAAAGTCGATCTATGCTACACAGTACATAGACGTGCATTATGACTTGTTGGTAACAGCAAATAGCAATATTCGTAGATATTTCATCAGGAATATATAGGAATACGTTCCGGTTATATTGAGCTCATAGTAAATCATGGCGGAGTGAACCAACCATTAGTTACTCAGTCAACATTGAGGCCATATATAGAGCTATTTCTTCACAACCATTGCACCTCCCCATAGCGAGCCGACATTCAATCGAGTAGGATGCAGTTCCAACATTCGGGAATACAATTCCTCGGGAGAGGACGTTTGTCCATCCAGTCGCGTGAAGTCATTCAGGTAATCCTTGGTCGCTTGGACGGCATCGGGAGAATATCCCTTGGTTGGATCACTATGACCACCAACCACAATTTTTGGTCCAAGGGTCAAGATCTTGTCGAGCGCTGCCACCCATCGCGATCTGGCCTCCTGGGACTTTGATTCTCCAAGGAACGGGTGCGTGTTGTTGTAGACCGCGTCTCCCGCGACTACCAAGCCAATTGTAGGCACCCAGAGAGCCGTTGTATCATCGGTGTCTGTATGGCCCAGTCTAACTGCTTCCAATCGCTCGTTTTCCAACATGATGTGGTCTTTCTCAAGAGGTGTAGCCATCACGAGCTTTTCTGGGATCTCCCCAGGAAAGAGCTTTCTCCAAAAGCCGTCCATGCCTTCTGGGTTTATGGCTTCGACCATCCGAGAAACAGTCTCGCGCGTAGCCAAGACTTTTGCCTCTGGAAATTTCTCGAGGAGGGCACCGGTGCCATAGAAATGATCGCCGTGGGCATGGGAGATATAAATAGTCGTGAGGTTTTTTCCCGTACCTACCACCCAGTCCACCAAGTCCTTCGCAGCAGCCTTGGTTAACTGGGTATCGACCAGCACTGCGTCCCTTTGACCAAATATTAAGGTCGAAGTGGTCGGCACCCACTTGAGATGATCGCGACCGGCTGGTGTGGACCGGTTCACGCCGGGACGTGTGCTGCTGAAGACTTTGTAGTTGAGACTCATATTGTCAACGATCGATGAAGTCAACTTGAATAGATGGATGAAATAAAATATGGCACATATAATCCATTGATGTATCCTTAATTCTTTATATCAATGCTGGGTATAGTTCAATAGAACTGTGACCCAAACATTGGTAAGCAACAGAGGTGGCGAAGGATTACTGATCATTGGCCTCGGCAACTCAACAGTCCGTTTCTTGACCGATCGTAATTTGCGTTGTTAACAAATCAAAGAAATGCTCGGCTTTATAATAGTTATAATCGATAGATAGGTAAGATTCCAACTTGCATCTCGGCAGTAGTACAATCAATGAGCTCCGGCTGCTATATACAAGTAGACCCGCAACATCTTGGTGGCTGGAAATAATACCGAAGAGCCCACTGTTAGCATTCGGCTCAGTTGGGTCTGCTATCAATACGCCGAGATCTGGAAGGATGAACCAAGAAAAACTAAGACGATTATATTGAAAGTCTTATGCTCCCAAACAAAAAAGAAAAAAATACATACAACAGAAGGGATTCGCTGGTGGTCACCCACCCAACTACTAACCTCCCGGCGTGTGGCTTGAGTACGGCTGAGCGGACGGGAAGCCCTATTTTCCACACCCTGTGGTCGTATGTACTCAATCTTTGTAACCATGGGCTCATATAGCATGTATACTAGCCAAAGCATTCAAAGGGACGGAGTGTATGTAGTAGAGTGCTCTTTTCACCTCTTTCCATCTTGGAGAAATGTTGACCTTTTGCACTGTCACCTTTAAGGACCCGCCTCTCGCCTCCACCATCCCAGTTATACTAACATCATTGTAGATGTCTTTGTTAATCACCGTACAATTTCAAACTAAGCCATTATGATAAAGCGAAAATACAGCACTTACTACTTCGATCATTCTGATGCGGCATTGTTTCGGCGGTTTTCTGATATAGCACGTACAAAATGTCCCACCGGAGACTTCAATATAACGAGGCAGGTTGGTTGACTGAATCTTATCACCACATCCTCCTGAACGCAAGGAATGAGAAATAGAGAGAAACAAAGGAAGCTATGTGCAGCTGGTCAAGTGCACAAAGATGTGGAAGATATGAGCTAATTCCCGACTAACTATGTAATAGCCTTTGAGGAACATACGAGCTAGGCTAGGAAGTGCGGCTAAATTGTTGAAAGTCCTAGGTACCTCTAACAGCTCCTAGATTGGCAACCATCCGAACAATCGAAACATGAATTCATTCCTCATCAGTTGTATGCTCCCACACCTCTTCCTCCTTGACAGGTTTCTTCTCTGGATCTCGCCACTGGTAGCAAACGATTTTCTTGAAATCAGGCTGGCAATGATCCCATATAGCTGCATGACCTCGCGTACGCATAGAAATGCTGTGCCCCGAGAAATCGATGTAGTCAACTCCATGAATGTCATGGTAGAGATAATGGAGATAGTCGGTCAGTTCTTGAGAGAGTTCGCATCGTTTCTCATCAGCAAAGAAAGATACCAATTCGTCGCCAATTGGCTGGTTCAGATCAACCATTTCATATACCATGTATAGGTGCTTGAGCAACATCCTCTGATATCGCTGTTGTCGAGATGGTCGATCGAGAAGTGAAAGACTCCAAAATTGGTAGTAGCTTCGAGTGAACCGATGACGTTCTGACGGAAGTAAATGCAACGGACGTGGTTTTCCTCCGTAGAATTCGTCATCGATGCTCGTGAGAGGGACTGTATAATATATAATTTAGCAAATATCTATTTATGTGACTGCTTACTGATCTGTCTACTGACTCCGAATGTTTGGGGTAATATCACGATCAAACACCTCGATTGCTTTCTCCACCATACGAGAGTTGCGTCTCAATCGTAAAAGATCCCGAATAGTCACTGAAGAAGAATAAAGTGCCAGGCCTCCTTGATCTGCTAGTAGGACTCTTGCATAGCGCTCACATGGGATCTTTCTGCGTAGGCGTTTGTAAATGGTAGGCGTATGTTCACTCAAGACCTGGCGCAGCCGACGGCAAGTCGCGGCCAAGTGGAGCGCATCCGGGAGACCAAGTTCCCCGAATATGTTGATGATGACCTCGGTAGGAATGGGGTTTGGTCCTGAGAATGTATGCATGATGAGCGTGGTGAGTGATTTCTCAAATATGGTGACTCGCCGAGGAATGAATCATGCACTTATCTTGCGTCTGTTTGCTTCTTAGACAGTCTGAGATCATGTGATCGGACTGATGTAAACCTGCGACAACTGCTTCAGGCTGCAACAATTTGGTCTTTCACAACGCTTTCCCATATTCAGACTTGAGCCAAGGCCTTTGTCGCACTAGTTTCAGGGCAGATGTGGGGGCTAACTAATAGGACTCCTGCCAGGGCGGGGTCTCAGTTGCGACGGGGTCAGAAATTAGTGCAACAGTATCAGAGAAATCCTGACGGAGTATAAGCTCAAAAAAAAAAAAAAAAAAAAATTCCTGATCAGACTCGGTTTTTCTGAACCCGTACCAGCTTTTCTAAACCAGAATTAGATATACCTTTATTTATACTATGGTAGCAGGATTTTTAGGGTATTCAGGGCATTAGGGATTTTAAGAAATCTCTTTTTCTATTTTTCATAGTATTTTAGATCACGTGCAGACTGATTTAGTATCAGAAATTATCACGCGTATAAATTCTTAGAGTATCAGATCATGTGCTTGAGCTCATACTTAAGTCAGGATTTCTCCAAATCTCTCTGAGCTGTTTTCCAACTTCGGTCTGACACTGTCACACTAATATCTGACCCCGTCGCAGCTGTATGCCCCACCAAGGCCTCTTTCCGTCTTTGATTTAGTGCTTATGGAATCATCAGCGGGTGGCTTTGCTGTCATGACTTGAATCTATAACTATGTGGACCTGTGTGAAGTTTGATAGACCCTTCACCATGAATTGAAAGCATATGGAGTACAAGGGGTTTATGTGGTCTGTAGTGCAAATGTCCCGGTTTCTGCCGTCGCGTCAGAGTCTGCGTGAAATTCAATGGGGCCTTTCTTCTCGTCTACAGCCTTCTAGGCATTTGTGGCTTATTAGGTGCTTTATCTTTTTCTTTTCTTTTTTTTTTTTTTTTTTTTTTTTTTTTTTTTTTTTTCTTTCTACTGACCCTACTATCTCTTATGTTTATTACACACTCTGCCCTGGTATGACTACTTGCACGTTACGATCAAAATGTTAGTAAACCCGGGAGAATGCAGATTCTCCACCTCTTACTTGAGGATGAGATGTGCAATGTCGAAGATACTATGTACTGTCTAAGGCAAAGTCCTGAGGTGGGAACGGTTCTGGCTTCCGGACCCTTGAATCCTTGGGGCTGTTGTAACCTTGGGACCGCCATAGCATCGGGGCTGTCATGGCTTGGGGGCCATGATAGCTGTTGTGATATTACTTCTAGAGGCGTTATATTTTCGGTAAGGCGTACCTTGCTTGAAAAAAAGGGTATACTAAGGAAGATGGAAAGACTGGCCAGTGGCGCGAGAAATCACCACCAGAGAGTATCTGTCAAAGTCATTTCTTTTGCCTTCAATTCACTCGTTATACAATGTATCCTCCCACTCTCTCTTGGAGCCATGCGGCTTTACTCTTCTTGTCGCTCTCTTCTTTTCAATTCGGTACTGCCACACCGATTGACGGCCAGCTCGTTGAGCGCTCGGGCATATCCTCCCCGGGTATCGGCGTCGAGTTCGAGTCTGGGAGCATCTATTTCACCAAAGACATTCACAAACTGTCGAGCAAAGAGGAAGAGGAAATGAGGCAAGCTGGTATCGACGCCAAAGGCAAGACTGTTACATTGAAATCAGCCAAGGATGGAAATGGTGCCAAGCTGTCTGGTAAAGACTGGGAATTGACAGCGGATGCCACGGGAAATACGCTGGGACACCTACCTGCAGAGTATATCCTGGACGGGAAAAAAATAAAGTTGGGAACGGGGAGAGCTGCACTTGCTGCAGAGGAAGTCTATGAAGATCTGGTATGATAGCTACACAGCAACCCTGAGTGGAAAAGGCATGGGGAGTCTGACTAACTGACTACCCCTGGTACAGAAAAAGTGGAACCCAAAGAGCGGCCAGGAGGTCGAAATCGCCGGCAATAAGAAGAATCCTTGGAGTCTCCAGGTGGGCGCGTATCCTGTGAGCTCAGCCTGGTCTCGTCAGATCACCGCCCCGATGCCACTTGGGGCAATCAACGACCTGATGAAGCAAGCCAAACTCGGCAAAGGCTCGCCTCTCATGACATACTCGAATACCAAGATCCGGAGAAAGGTCTGGGTTAATGATTTCTTCTTCGAGGAGAATCCTGGTGGCCTTACCAAAGCCGTTGGCGAAGATGTTCGCGGATTCCTTTCGCTTCTTCTCTCCTATGCAAAGGCTGGCAGCCAGGTCCGGAACAGTGAAAGTGCTAAAGAATTGACATCGATCATGCCGCGCACAAGTTTTGCGAAAATGTACAAGCTCATTGAGGGCAAGCTTGAAAAGAAGGATCTGTGGACGATTGTGAACAAGCTTGCTTGCTATGAGAACCCCATTGACGATGCACATGAATACGCCGCGTAAGTCTGGTTCAACTGCGCTACCTGTGTGAAACCTTCACTCACAATATCTTTAGGGTTGATGAGCGGTATTGCTCTGGGCACCCGGGACAGACGACAATCAACGGGAAGTTTGAAAAATTGGTGATAGATATCTGCTACGGCTCACAGTCCTGCCCTGTCAATGTCAAGGCCTGGATCCAAGGCTTGAAGGACGGCAAAGATCTGCTCAAAGATGCCGATAAAGAAATGATCGATGGTCAAGTTGGAGGGTATGGAGACTTGACCGAGTATCGTCTAGATCATCCTAAGGAACAACTCGCCCTTTTCGAGTTCCGTGATCTTCCTTCTTGCTCGGCTTCGGAGTGGAAGAAATGTTTGGAAAAGGCCGAAAATGAGATCGTCAACTATCACAAGAAGTTTCCCGGAAACTAATACTTTACTTGTGCCGAGCAACAACGTCGTTTTAGGGGCACGACCGGCTCAGCGTCTGGATAGACTGCTCTGCAATTAGTGGTGTGGTGGAATTTGATTTGTGCCTGTTTCTACTTTATACTACTACATATATATATCTTTTTGTATCTATCGTTGAAAAGACATTCACCTCGGCGTGTAAGAGTTCGTCGTCTTTTGTGTGCAGTTTGCCACTCCTCTCCAACCGCTCGGGTGGATGGCTGTATGTCTTTCCGCAGGCCATATGGGTGCGGTTGGCTGGAGGCTGCAGTCCCCTGCGAGTTATCTGGTGTACCGGTGTCCTTTGTGTTCTCACCGGACTCGACGGACGTATCGGGGCGCGCGTCCCGATTTGCGCGCGGGCTCCAATCGCTGACTTTCCAGAATCGTCCTTTTCGTAGTAGAAGACAGGTCGATTCTGTCGGGCCTGTTCTATCCTGGCCATTTCCTTCCTTCTCCGTGTGCAGTCCTTTGCACAGCACACACGACGGTGCCGGCTTTGGGTCGGTTTCTTTCACCATGCATTCTTTGGTGTTGTGCTTTCCTGCGCAGTATCCGCACCGCTCTTCGGCATCGCACCGAGGTCCGATGTGGCCGGATTCATGGTATCTATAGCACTGCTTGAGTCGGCACGACTTGTCGTATAGGACGCAGTCGTGGTGAATCGCATTCAACACCAGTCCCTCCCGGGTGACCCGGTTCGCGTGATATTTCGTCGTAAACTCCACGACAAGGGATGAGGCTTGTTTCTTTCTTCCTTCCCTGGTTAGCCAGCCTACGTACGTTATCTTCGCTCCCTCATGGAGCACCGCATTCTCAGATTCAATTTTCTCAATGGCTCTTTGTTAGTTGTCAGCGTCGATAGATTCTTTGCTAGTGCGCACTCCGTGTACAATCACCCCGTATGTGGGTCTGACCACCCTCGCGGATGTTCCGAGAACTTTGACCCATTCTTCTTCGGTGTCCTTCAAAGTGTCTGCCTCTGCCGTCGTTGCTGTGTGCAGCACTACGTCCCCACTCTTCAGTTGTTTTGCGGCTATGGCCTGAGTGGCCTTCCCAAGCAGATTTATCCGTGATCCTAATGCATCATTCACCCGTTTGCAGAGGTCTTCCGATGATACCTGGCGGAGTACGGCCGCCGCGTTTGCATCCAGCTTCACTACGGTTTCTCTATCCCTGACACTTGCGGTTTGTGGAGGCTCTGCTGTTCGGTGTCGACGGGTATGAAGGCGCGCCCGACCGGACTACGTCAGCCCAGGAGGCAATTCGAGTGGCTGCGTTGGGTGCGACAGGAGCCGGTGATGCGAGTGCATTGTTGACTGCGTTCTTGATGAGGATAATGTCTTCTACGATCGGCTGCAAACTGTTTAGCTTTCCCAGGATCTCCTGTCCGGATGGTTGCTCTCGGGCTTTCTTAGCTAGATTAATCACGCTGTTCAGAAATGCTTCCACAGATGTGCCTGGTAGTTTGGCGCGTTTGGTGCTGTCGAGCTCCAGCAGTGCTGTGGCCTCGGCTATGATTTGCGTGGCATGCTCGAGGTGGTTCAGGGGCTGAATCCCCAACACTGGCCAAATAGTCCCACCTGTGACAGCAATATGGATGATATTGTGTGTGTGTGTGTGCTAGCTAGCTAACTACGCGAGGAGGTGACTAGGTGACTAGGTGGCTAGGTCCGAGATCATGTGATCTCCTTTCACACCCTCCGCTGGAGACGGACCTGAGCGTGTTCTTGGGGTCGGTTTGGATCCTGACCGTTGTGACGTCGTGTCGTAGCTGGGCGAACTCCCTCTGGGAGCGGTCGCTCAACTCCTTCAGCTCACGCCTCAGGTCGCTATCCAGGTTGACCGTGGTGAGCATTTCTGCGGTCTTCAAGGCCGCCTCCACAAACTGCATCACCGGCTTGGGGAGGCTTCCTCGACCCTCTCGGACGTGTTCGATAATCGCTTTCGCATCGTGTTGCTGGTTGACTGCGCGCTGCGTCAAATTGATAGTGTGGCTCGAAGCTGCAGAGTTTTCCGTATCGGCTGCCAAGACCGGCCACGGGGACGACCTAGGCGCCATTACAACACCACGAGGGGGCAAGACCCCTCAAAATTGGTATCAAAAGGTCGCCGGAGGCGTTAAATATAACTATACGAGTGATGAGGCCCGCAGGCCCTGTGGTGGTTGCGTAGATTTCGAAAGTTTGATTCGCGCGTGGGGAGTTGTTTTTTCTCGATGTGAATAGCTGCCGCGCTGTTGATGGAGACAGACCTCAAAGTCATCGAAGCTCCATCACTGCCTCAAGGCCCTTGGACGCTGCCCTTGCAATGTATTCCTTATATTTAAGACTTGTATCCATCAGGACGCCCAGAATCTTAACATGGTCTTTGGGTTCAACAGTTTGTCCCTTGATAGTGAAGGACTCCCGGTCCAATTTGTAAGCCTTAGGAGTGAAGTATATGATGGCTGTTTTCTCTGCTTCAAAAGTTGTCCCACTTCGTCTTTCCCAGTCAAGCGCCTCTTTAATGATTCCCTCAATACCTTCCCGGTTGCTCTGCGTACTTGGTCCGGTCACCCACGCGGTAAAGTCATCTACGAACGCTATCAGATCACATACAATGTCGGACCGTAGCACTGTCTTGTCACTATAGAGGTATACACGGCTAGCTATCCAGCAAGACTGCTAGTATTTCTTCAATATATAATTAACGATGCTAAAAAACAGCTAAGACGGAACAGCCTGAATGAAATTATAGTATTTTGCTGGAAATTTTAGGAATACTTCTTTTCAGTTATGGAATTACTATGTAAAGAATCCTATCTGTTCTGGTCTCTCTAAATAACTGCTGCAGTGGCTCGCCGCGGCCGAGGCTGATGAGTTTATATTGGATTATGAGGATGATGATGTCCCGCTGGCTGAGGACAGCCAGTCTTAGTAAGAGGGGTGATGTGATGGCGAACGGTGTTCAGAGACATGTGATTAGATTATATGATGTAGTTCTGTTTACTTTGTTTGTTTTGCTTTGTTTGTTTATCTTTATTATTTATATGTGTTCCCCCACACTTCCTCCTTTCCCTTCTCATGTTCGATATTCTAGTCTAGATGCACCAAATAAGACATATTTGATCGGCTCTCACAGTTCTAGCATAATCTTACTTAATCTTATTAGTACTTGTATATGCAGTCTCTCAGCTTCATTCCATCAATCCTGTTCATAGTATGTTGATGCCAGGCTGGTTAAGCTTATCAGAGTATCAGGATGCTCAGCGCCTAGCATCATCTCACTTAAATATATTACTTATATATGTAGCCTCTCAGCTTCATTCCATCAGCCCTGATTATGGTATATTGCTGTAAGATTATTTATGCTTCCCAGAGTTAGAGGATGATTGACTCCTAGCACTGCCTTACATATCTCCATTACTTGTACTTACAACTTCTCAGCTTCATTCCATCGGCCCTGATTGCGGTGTGTTAATGCCAGGCTATTCATGCTTGCGAGAGTCATAGGATGCTCGACCCCGTGCAATTGTCGGTTGTTTTCCAAAAGAGCCTTGTAGTGAATTTCTGCCTCGAAATACCTTCCATCACTAGCAAGACAATCTGCAATTTTTTGAATGAACCCAGAATAATCGTCTTGTTGTTTGACAAACTCATAATCTTCCACAAGTGCCAAAGCATGAGGAAGATACTCCCGCCATAGTCCTTGATTAGTATAGTGACTATTGGGAAATACTTTCTGCATTTGGTCTGACACCTTCCTTACCCATACACTAAACTGGCCAGTCTTTCGAAGCCAGTTTCGCGTGGAAATATGGACAAGAGTGTGCAGACTTATATCTGTATCCCGGCTGTTGGTAAATGAGTATGCATTCAAAAGGCCTAAAGCATCAACAGTCTGTTTCTTTGTTGCTTGAAGTGGGAGAAGAGACCGCGGAATGTTTCGTGGATTGATGCAAGCCATGAAAGACAAATAGTCTGCTGCCAATTGATTGTGGTTCTGAAGTTGTATAAATGAGATCAACCAAGTAGTTAGCACTGGATTTTGGATATCCTTGTAACGTCCTGGGTCATTAAAGTCCTCACTAAGAAGCTCCACTGCATTCTGTTCCTGCTCTTGGAGAAGTGCGAGGTATTCAGGCAATGTTATCCCATTTTCGATGATGTATGCAGATGCCTGGGTAATTGCCAGGGGAAGGAAGGCGAGTCGTTCTAGTAAAATACCTGCGGTGTGAAGATTTCGAGACAAATCTTCCTGGACCAGCAATTTCTGCATCATCTGGAAAGCAGTGCTCGTATCCTCATTCGGAATTGAAACGATACTGAATGGTGCTAGTTTCAAGGCAAGTTTTCGGTTCCGTGATGTGAAAAGGATATTGCCGTGTTCACTTTGAGGGAGAAAACCATCAAGAGCAGGGTCTGCCCCACTGTCCGCTAACCACATATCTGTATCGTCCGCATTGTCGAAGATCAAGAGCCACCTTCCTGCACGCTGACAGCTAAAGTATCCTTTAAGTTGTTCCTTTATCTCGGCTGGCTTTATATCACTGATTCCGACAGTCACCGCGATTTTCAAGAATGTTGCCTCAATCAACGCACGGCTAGTACACGGGATCCAGAAGACAGAGCGCTCCTTGTCTTTTTCGCGGATACGGTAAGCCACCTCTAAAGCTACTTGCGTCTTTCCGATTCCGCCTTAACCAGTAATTGCGACCCTTCTGTAACCATCTTGCATCATGATCTGGTCTTCCAGTTTCTTGATCTCATCTAGGCGGCCAACAAAATTTTTATTTCTGAGTAGAGGGACCACCCAATGCTGCTCCTTTCGTGTCTCCAGTGAGCGAGAGTATATGTGGGAGACAGGCATATCTGAAATGAGAAGCTTTGCATAGGCAGCAGCTGTCAATGCTGCATATCCTTGCCACTGCTTTTGCTTGTGGGAGTCACAATAGTCACATATACCCCGGACCACGAGGGTTGGAAGCTCATTCATGAGGCCTGCAGCTTCCATCTCAAAGCAAAGAATCGGATGCTGGTCGGCTAAACGATCTCGTGTTTCTGAGTCTTTCATCACCTGGTCTCCAGACGCTATCAAGCCGTAATGAATGTAGGGCGTTTTTCTTTCGGGTGGTTGCCGTTCCACTAGTTGGTTTCTATCACACTTTCCACAATCAGATTCCTTGTCGTCATGGTGGTAGGAAGAGCAGAAAAATAGGTCTAAATCTTGTACTGGACGGGAGAATCTTTCTTTGATGCCAGGGTTCCGTTTCAGGGCTTCGCTTATTACGAAGGAGAGAACATCATCGCCAGTTGTCATCTGTTTTGCTCGGATTTGGCTTATATGTGTTAGAAGAGCCTGCGGTGGCTGATTCAGCATCCCCGTAGGCTCAAATTGTCCACCCTGCACTGCCTTGCCATAATCGTATTGTATCACCCCACCATGCCTTCCACCTGGTGTACTGACAACAACATCACCCAATCGAATATCGTGGTTTTTGCTCGGGACCCCGCCCCCAATTCCCACCATCAGTCCAAATTGAAGCCGAGGAAAGGTCAAACGCATACGCGACACGACAGTCGCCGCCGAGACAGTCCCGTAGATACCGTTCGGTAAGTAGGCAATAACAATATGATGGCCGTTGAGCTCGCCAAAGTCGTAGGCGTTCGGATCACTCGCTCTTTCGGGTAGAATGTGGGTCTTGTCCAGCATGGCCCGGGCTGCTGCCGCCTCGAGAGGCAAAGCACAGATCCATGCGATCGTATAATCATCAAGAGTGTGGGCCATTCTGTCAATAACAATGAATCGCCAGACTTAAGAGTACTTGACTATGGAAATCGAGTCTGGCAATCAGCTACGGATGGAAACAGTTTAAGGAGTGTGCACCAACACGGATCAGTGTCTTGGAAGAAGGAAGGGTAATTAGCGACGTGTCCTGCAAAGCTGACTCGGCCACCGCGATTAGCCAGGTCTCCACCACCAATCATTTATCTCAAAACACATTGAACGGATGAGTCATTAACAAGTTGTTTGAGCTAACTAGTTATCTAATTAACGTATTCAACGGTTGAACGGCCCATCTGGTGATACTATACGGAGTATAGAAATGCGTAATCCAATTTTGCAAGGCACTGTACAAAGCAACAGCACCGATTCTGACGCTGAACAGGTATTAACCTATTGTCAGTCAAACAATCAAGCAAGGCCTTTTGGGTTAAATCAGAGACAAATTCTCTGCTAATATGATATTCCTAGCACTAGTAAAGACAACCAGGAATTGTCTAGTCTAAGTCAAAAACAGAGAATATCCAGGCTTGCAAAATGCTTCCACAGAAGGACGAAACAACGAACGCCACAATAATCAATTAACCGATAGACTTACACCACTGTACCTGCAGCGCGCAATGTATCCATTTAGTCGAAGAGCTTTGTCATGAACTGATGAGCCAGCTCAACACCCGCACTGTTTGACATATTAGCAACGACAGCCCCAGAGCATGTCAGGGTATAAGAACATACAAAGTTGCAGCATTGGCAGGAACAGCTCTTGCCAAAGCAGGACCAAATCCGGGAAAGAAAGCCTTAAAGCCACCGTTGGCGTAAACGGTGCGAATCGTGCCGCCGATCGTGGGACGACCAGGCGCGCTCTGCAACCGGGACTTGATGGTATCAACGGGGAAGACAGGAATCCACATGGCAATACCAGCAGCACCACCGGCAGCCAGGACGGCTGGCATGGATAGCTCGCCAGTGACATTGCCTTGCGCATCCTTGGGAGTCAAAGTGCGCTTGATATACTCGTAGGCGGCGAAGTACGCAGCAGAGCCAGGGCCGTCACGAGCGAGGGTCATTGCACTGCCACGGAACACACTGCGAATACCACCCTCCTGGTATAGCTGCCGAACCACATCCAAACCGCCAGAGTACTTGGGCTTCTGGCCCGGGGGCGGGGGGTTCTGACCCTGGATCTGAAGGAGCACTTTGACGCGCTCGAAGGGTGCCGTGATCAAGGTCATGGGAATGGCAGAGAAGAAACCAGCAGCTGAAATCTGGCCAATGGTGTATTGAGGGGTGTTGCTCTCCACGCGAACTTCAGACATTTTGCCGACGAGGGTTTTACCGACATCATAACCCTATCAGCTGTGAGCCATGTGCGCCAAGGGAGTTACATTTCGCAAATTTGTAGACATACCCAGAAACTGACAGCGACTGGAGTACACGCGCGTTGTTAGTATTGCGAAGGTCAAAAAGAGGAGAGAAGCTTACACATTGGCGTGACTCCCACCAGGGGAGCAGAGACACCTGCGTATAGTCCCTTTTCCGATCAGCAACTGCGCCAACGCTAACTATAAAGATAACCTACTCGAGCGAGACCCTCCCGGGCCACAGTCCTCTTCACGACATCGATGGCACCAGAGTAAACGCCCTTCTCTGCAGTCTGCAGGCGCACCTTCACCAGATCGAAAGGATGTCCGACAACAACGGCGCACACACCACCGGCAGCCCCAGCAGCGAGCGAGCGAATCTGAGCAATAGTCTGATTGATGGGCTTAGGCTCCGGAGCTCTGATTTCCTCTGGAATTGATTCAGCGGCGGAGGGAGAAGCGGTCATGGTGGCGCGGATGAAGTGCAAGGAGCGGAGAAAAGGAGCGGGGAGAATAAGCGGGGAGAGTGGAGTAGAAGTCGTGTTCTCTTGGACGCTTTGACAGAATATGCAAGAAGCGGCGACTTTGAGAAGTGAAGGTAAGGTAGTTACGGAGAGGATAGGTAAAAGAAATACGTATCCGGATTGAAGGCAGAAGGGGAAGAAAAGGAAGAAAGCTGGCTCTCTTTGCGACGGTCACGCTCCATCCGGCCGGCCAGCAAGGCAATGAGTACCCCGGACCTCGGCTCGGCGCGGATTAAGCAGTTAATCCGTTTCAGGCATTCCAGCTTGATAGATAGGGTACCTTAAGTTTGGCCGGGCACGCAGAGATAAGTGCGGCAGTGTCAGATCGGAGCTGGAAAAACTGATCGGATATTCAGAGAAATCCTTGATTCAGGATGAAGCTTATGCACGTGATAATTTTGAAGCTGATACTGAGCCCAAACATGTGACTATTCCTGATACTACACCAACTCTGCACGTTGATACAAATTATTACCACAAGAAGAAAAATTCTTCCCATAAAAAAGAAAATAAAAATAAAAAGATAAATGTAAAAAAGGAAAATAGGAAAAAAAAAAAAAAATGGGGGGGGGAAAACAAAAGGTAGGCCCTCAGGGCATTGGGGATGGTCGCTGAGGATGGTGAAGATGCTAAGTAGAAGGATCCCTACACGTCCCGTTAAAGTCAACGACGGAGGGCACGCATATTAAAGAGGAACAAACATGTAGGAAGCAAGGCATGGACGAAGACTAGGGGTGCTGATGAATCGCACACAACTGGTCAGCCAATTGTGGCACTTGTTTGTATTTCTACATTATCTAAATTAGGCTTTGCTTTGCTTTCGTTGTGTATCCAGTTGTGTTTAGCTGCGGCGACGACCTTCCTGCCTCGCAGCGTGCATTATGCGTAGGCTTCAAGTGTTTTGAATGGCTCTCAGAGCCATATTCTTTTGCTTCAGACTGTAGAGCACCTACATAGCTGGCATCTCACCTAGCTGGATCAAGTAATAGGATAAGTTTTGAATTTATTGCAGTTGAACTGAGCCTAGGATGGCTCCTCTACGCCATTTAGTATCATAAATACATAGATAGATGATTAATTAACGAACCTCGATATAGAAACATAAGATCTTATCAAGATATTCAGATATGAACTAGCATTTGCTGGAGGGGCACTACTACTAGTAGTACTACTATGAGTAGACGGAGACACTTCCTTCTGATTGGCAGGGTTCATTCACTGGGTCTGAAAGTCGAGCTTACTGTGAAAGCCCAGAAACTCATACTACTAGTAGTTGAATCTACACTGTCAAGATTTCGGCCACTTTAGTATATATCTTGGCAGCGGCTGTTCATATACATCTAGTAGTATTAGGTTTCTTTCACTTGATTCTTTCCTATTCCTCTGTTCTTGCTCATTAACGCCTCTTAACATCTCAGCTCCTTTCCACCAGCCCCTCGACTTTTCCTGCTAACCTCTCAATAGATTTCAATGCCTGACAGATCTCCAGCTGATGCCGTCTCTCAGGAGTGGATCGGGTCACGTGAGCATACACGGAAGGAAAAGAACGGACCCGATCGGGGTCAGTCAGGTGACTCAGCGGAAAAAGGCACCAACTCCGGGCATTCATTTTGAGTCACCGGGACTATCTAATAACTAATGTGAGATAATAAATGAATCTGTCCAGTCCTTTCGTGAAGAAATCATTAGAGATTCCGGGTCTAAGAATCAATCTACCGGCTGATTGGGACTGGCGAAGCCCTTTCCAGCACGAACAGGACGCAGAGCTAGTCGGGATCACAATGCGCGATTCCCCGATCTAATTGGGAGCCGTGGGCTTGATCGTGTACAATTTCAACCATGAGCAAGCGTCCTCATCAAGGGTCCCCGCCCCGCCCTGCCTCCCAGTCTCCCGATCTGGTGGATCACACCCCCCAGGGCCTCTCGCCTGGGGACCCAGAGCAACAGCAACATGCATCCGGGCCCAGCAAAAAGCCCCGAAACTTTATAGCCACAGTGGTTGGTGCTTCCCGTTGTCAGTAATGTGAGACATAGTAGTAGTAACCACTCCGTTAGGCATGTGAGAATTGCAGGCTTAAAAAGACGCGATGTGATGAGTCGCGACCGAAGTGCGGCTTGTGTAAGTCGCTGAACCTCGATTGCGTCTACAATGAGCGCAAGACCTCCAAGTAAGGCCGATTCACATTCACCAGTCCTTCCTGTTCCATTTTGCTAATGCTTAGCGTAGACGGGACCATTCCCTCAGCTTGATAATGAGCACATTACATCGACTGGAAACTAAGCTGGAGAATGTTCCCATGACCATTTCCAAGGAAATCCACTCCCTTCGGGGTCAGATGCCCCGTAGTTTGGATGGCACGGAGACAATGAGCTCGCTCGCGCATCACTCTCGCAGCACGAGCAGCTTGGGTAAGTTGGAACGCTTGGGCTCTCAGACTCTCACGCCTGAAGCAATGCGACTGAACGAAGTGGAGAATGACGACCAACACCTGCATCCCAATCCGACGGAGGCAAACGGGCTAGTCTCGATTTCATTCAGCCAGCATGGTGTGATATCCTGGTTAGGTGCTCAGAAGATCCTCCCACAACGGTTACTCGAAGCTCACGAGAAACTGGGCAAGAACTATGTGATTGACATGGAAATGAAGCGCCCTCAATTGCCCATGTACATCTGTCCTTTCCCAGCGCAGGCCGGGGACAACTGGTTGAACGCACTTCCATTGGCTATGGTTAAGGGCCTTTCGGATGCTTTCTTCACCACTTTCAACCTGTTTACACCCATAATCGACAAGAACTATTACTATGCCTTCACCCTGGGTGCGGCGATTGAGAGCAACTTTGGCTACAATATCGAGAGCTGTGTGGTTCTCAATATCATGGCGCTAGGCTGCATCGCTGTCCACGCCTACCAGGAAGGGGATTTCCCATTACTAGGGACGCGCAGTGGTCGTTTCGAGCCTCCTGATTGGATGGGGGTGGTCTACGAGGAGCCCCCAGGATTGCGCTTCTTCAACACTGCTCGCCAGCGCATTGGGTTTCTAATGTGTGACAACAACCTCCAAAGCTGCCAGTTTTACCTCTTGTCATTGTAAGGCCTTCCGCCTGACTGAATTGATAGAATGCTGACTATGTGAAGCATCTACTACAGTCAAATCCTTCGGCCCATGGATTCGTGGGCCATGATCCATCGAGCGGCCACTTGCTGTCTGTCCATGCTCACCAAGTAAGCCATCCATGGCACTTAACTGAAGTTCTGGTCCTTGCGAAACTAACACTAGTCAGTCATGATGTCCATTTCGATGAATGGGAAGGCGATATGAAATCTCGTGTCTATTGGAACTGCCTTATGAACGAAACCATTCTCGTCCAAGAATTACACGTCCCGCCCAGCGGTCTCTCCCGACTCGAAGAATACGTTCCAATCCCCAAATTCATCACCTTCGAAACCGTGGGCTTCCCGGCTTCCCGCTCACTCTCATTAGAAGAGATAGACGATTCGTTCTTCCAATACCATTTCCTCGCGCAGGTCGCCCATCGAATCATCCTAACCCGCATCCGACACTCGCTCTACTTCCACTGTGAGTTACACCTACTCCCATCATCTCTCGCCTGCCAGATCCATCAGACTAACCCTCCATCCCTACCAGCCGACTCCGGCACATTTCCCCACCCAGCCGTTAACGCCGAACTCCGTCACCAACTAGAACAATGGCGCATCAACCTCCCCGCCGCCCTCCAGTTTCCCGACCACACAAACTCTGCCCTGACCACAAACCCAAGCACCCCAATACCTCCATCTCCAGCCTCCCAGCAACACCTTCCCTTCACCCCCTCCCCCCGCCACGCCCTATCTCCCGCGATCGCCGTCTCAGAAGCCATGCTTCGTGGCCGGTACATGATCGCCAACTTCCACATCGGCCGCCCATACCTTTACAAGGCGCTCCACACGCCCGGCTCCCTAACGGACAAAGATCTCGAGCAGATCCATAGTGGTTTGCTCAATGCAATGAATTGGCCTGTCGTGGGCGGTATTTTCCAGCGCATGAAAAGTTGTATCCCGATTAAATTTGCTTTTTGTTCTCAGTAAGCTAACCCCCCGCCCTCCTATAAGATGTTGTTACGTGCTCACTTGGTTTACATAGATTCTTCGGCCAAATACTCCTCTTCTACTGTATATCTCACTCCTCGGACAGACGGTTACACGAGACTTTGCCTGCGGGATGGGAGCAATGGAATCAGGAGATGATGCAATTCTTAGAGGACTGTGCGCAGGCCAGTCCGGCGGTGGCGAAGGATTTGGAGTTGTTGCGGTTACTCTAATTGTAATAAGTATGTGTGTGGATGGTCTTCATGTATGTATGTATGTGTGGATGAATGAATTCAGCAAACAACATTCGAGTCAATATGCCATGATATATGATTTATTACCTATAAGTGCCCCCTCTTGATGGATATGGTGGGAATATAGAGTAGAGGAGAGGAAAGTGACTAATTAAGTAATGACACAAAGGCTGCAATGGTGTAGAATACCCCTTGTGGTATTCACCAGAAATGTATCTAAGAATTCGTCGACTGGGGTGTCCATAAGGAACGATTCCAGCTCACCTGGGGTTGCATTCTTCTTTAGTGGGCACCTGACCTCTACGCTGCCTGGCCCGTCGCTGATGATTACAGGCGTGTCCAAAAAGACCTTCTCTGCGTTTGCGACAAGAGGGTTGATGTATCCAGTCTCAGATTAAATCTGGTCTGCAGCGGCGGCGGCGGCGGCGGCGGCGAGAGAGTTTTTGGAGCCTACATCAGCGACGATAGGAAAGATGATACCGGGGCGTATGTCGGCTGTGTCATCGAAAGACCCTTTCCGATGGCCCAGAATATAGACTCTGCTGGCACCATTGGTAGCGAGGGCATTGTCTTACTCAAATCTGTGATAGTGATATCATCATCAGCTTGTTTCCGGAGAGTATAAGAGTGACCACGCGTCACATACCTGAGCTTCCACCGGTGACGACGGCAACCATGCCGCACACACACAGGATAGATCTCTGATATTGTAGAACATATTGATGAAGTACTTAGCCCGAAGCACTTTGTAGTAATGTGGAAGAACAATCAGGACTTGAAAACACGATCCCAATTATAGACCTACAGGTTAGTGATACGCCCATTGACACATTCAGGCAGGTTAGTCGGTATTTCTATCATAATTGAAAATATCACAAATGACCGACAACTCCCAGCTTGCTATTCATGTACGTTGAAAGACTCGGTAGGACTGGTAGTACCGCAGCGATCGCCTGTATATGAAAAAAAAAAACAAGAATCAACAACCGCTTCAAACAGAACACCTTGACTGCTTTCCCCTTGTATTCTGCATCATCATCATCATCATCATCATCATCATCACCATCTTCTTCTTCTCCTTAATAGTAAACACCCCAGACAGAGGTGCAACGTGCCTACCAAATCGGGTAGTGCCCTCTCCTTTTCTTCTATCTATTTAGAAAGCATCCTTAGTAGTAAAAGAAAAGAATGAACAACTATCTGCCTTGCCTTCATCTTCTTCTTCTGTGTTCGCTTAGACTTAGATCCGCTTGCTCCAGCACGGAGCACAGAGGTGTCCGTTGCAGTATGTGGATGTGGGTATGTAATCCCAGTAAATTACTAGTAGTCTATGTCACGTGACCAGAAAACTCCGTAATCCCAACCGCTCCTTCCGAGCGCGCCTCGATAGCAAGAATCAAGCGTTTATTACGACTTCAATATCGACCTAAAACGTCATCTCAACAGGTTATGAGCCCGGCTCCAACATCATACCTAAACCCTATACCAGCAAGCTGTCGGTTCGATGACACGCCTGATCAACCTACAAAAATTATAACATGAGGCTACCAGCAAAGACCCGACAGCCAATCAAAGCGCGCAAAAGCTATAAATCAACGAGAACACGCAACCGCGATACCTCCTAGAAACTGAATCATTGCATTCACTATAACCGCAGCAGGTCTGAGGGGGCCGTGTTGAGACATTTGAGTCACCTCTGCTGCTTGGTGGCCATCGATATATCGTTTTGGTCTACTTGGCAGAAATCTGTTTTGACAGAATCCCTAGTGAATGAGTTGAAACAGGGAGAAGGCGGTGTTAAAGGCGGTGAAAGTAGTGGTGTTAGCACTTACGTTCTGACGGAGTACTAACTAGTACTTTCTCCGCACTTAGTTCTCGGATAACACCAATCACAACTTTCCTCCATCAATTTTATCCTGAGAGTAGTTCACGGTTCTACGAAGCTGTCATCATGTCTCCATCAAAGAAGTGCAAGCGAACTTCCCCCCCTGCTCCTCTCAGACGGTCGGCACGTCTTAATCTCCAGGATGCTACCTCCAGGAGCACCATGCCGCCTCCCCCTCCCCCGCAGAGAGGTTTATCTATTCTTTCAACAGACACGGAGGCATCAGAAACCATGCTGAAGCTGCTCCGCGATGCTAATGAAATAATCTCACAATATGCTGCCCAGGGTCGACAAAATGAAGACAAGCTCAAACCAGCTTTACAAGCTTTCCTCGAATGGCTCCCAGATGATGGGAAAGTATCCATTGCTAAAGATATCTTAGTTGCTACTACAGATGACCTTTTACATCAAGTGTTTTTCAATCTCTTCACTACCCTTGCCGTGCCAATGAAAACACGGTCACATGCAGGCTCCGTGAAATGTTCCCCGCACCCTCACAGATTAGATGCTGAAGAAGCTGTGGCCTCTACCTTTGACGACCCGCTTGAGCGCGAAAAGAAGTTCCGCGATATGTGTTTAAGGAGAGATAACTATTGTTGCGTGGTTAGCGGGGACATGGATGTAGACAAGTTTTGTGAAAGAGGAAGTCCCGAAGGCGTTATTTCGAGAGACTTGGAGGTAGCACATATTGTGCCTTTCTCTTATGTGAATTGGAATACGTCGACACCACTACCCCAGGATTCCACTATCTGGGAGGCACTGATGCGTTGTTTCCCAGGTATCCGCCAAATTGGACTTTCAGCTGAAACAATAAATCACGTATTCAATGGTCTCACGATGGAAGCACCTCTACACTCCTCATTCGGCTCATTTAGGCTTGCATTCAAGAGAACAGACATCCTGCATACATACCAGTGCATGACATATAGCGATTTTCCTACCCGCAACCATATGTATCTGCCTGAAAATAACATCATAAAATTCAAGCAAGCACTGGGCGCAGAGGATCTCCCACTACCAAATCCTGTGTTAATTGATTGCCACTATCGCTTGGCAGAGATTCTGAATGCATCAGGTATGGGTGAAAGAATTGACGAGCACTGGCGACGCTGGGAAGATATAAAGGGGAGTACTGCTGGACACATGCTAAGTCCAGATGGAGATACTGATCTGGGCTGTTTACTAGAAACCGCACTTTGGCACTGTGTCAGAAGTTAGTAGATTATATCTCTTCAAGCTCACCCCGCCGCAGTTCTGTCAGAATAGAAACCATGAAATTGATAGCAGCTTGCATATCCCGGTGTTAAGGCAGTAACTAGCTAGTAGAGTACTCGGCCAATGAGTGCCCTCGAATTACGTGAAAGTAATTCGGATTGCTCATCGGCATCATGTACCCGAGTCAGTGACTGCTGCCTCAGGCCAGCGGCAAATACGGGATCGGAAAAGTGACCGGGAGACCGGCGGGCAGTCACGTGGGGAACACCCTTCCCACCTGCCGAGCTGCTTAGCCGCAGAGCATCCCAAGTCCGTCCCAAGTAAGTCCGGGGGCTCGGATCGAGCGACGGCAGTCTGCGTGCACCACTCAGCTTCGTCCCAGCGCCTCCCAAGTCCCCGCTGCCCTAGTTGATCTCCCCTAGTATTGGTTACTCACGGTCCACCTTTGGTCATCTCTGTTACTCTGTTAGTCGGTTCGCCCCCCCTGCATGGCTGACACCGCGGTTTTCCAGCCCTCTCAGTGTGCTTCCTGTTCGTCCCCACGCTCTGTCCACGCTGTTCCCCCCCGAACTCTCCACGATCCAGCCGACTATGAATGCCGTTGTGGTTCCCCGATGTCTGTCTCGCGGTGGCCTTCGGGCCACTACCCCAGCTCAATGCATGGTATTTATATCGCCATTTCCCCTTCACTTTCATCATGAAGATTCCTCTTCCAGATCAGCTTCACTTATCTCTATCTTCTTCTCTCTCACCTTTGGGTGATGTTCTAATCTGTCTCTTTCTTGTGATTATACCCGATCCCCACTCCGTATCTATTGACTTCCCCACCCCACCACTACCCCGAAGCTTGACCCGCTCTCTCGCGTGCACACTGCCCACATGGCTCCTTCACAACAAGAGAAGTATGACATTGTCATCGTGGGCGCTGGCCCCGTTGGCATTGTCCTGTCGCTCTGCATGTCCCGCTGGGGCTACAAGGTGAAGCACATTGACAACCGTCCGGTGCCGACCGCCACCGGTCGCGCCGATGGTATCCAGCCTCGTTCGACGGAGATCCTTCGCAATCTGGGCTTGAAGCGCCAAATAATGGCCTTCAAGCCCGCTAAGGTGTACGACGTTGCTTTCTGGGACCCTCTCCCGGGCGGACAAGGTATCCACCGCACTGGCAGCTGGCCCAGCTGCCCCCGCTTTATCGATACAAGATACCCCTTCACCACCCTGGTTCACCAGGGTAAGATCGAGCGCGTGTTCCTGGATGAGATCCAGAAGGCCGGTACCACAGTCGAGAGACCGTGGACCATCGTCGGTTTCAAGAATGATGGCTTGGACGAGACCTACCCCGTCGAAGTGCAGCTTAAGAGCATTGACACCAACGTAATCGAGACTGTTCGCACAAAGTATCTCTTCAGCGGTGAAGGTGCTCGGAGTTTCATCAGACAGCAGCTTGGCATCCAGATCCAGTACAAGGATCCCATCTCCTATGTCTGGGGTGTTATGGATGGTGTCGTGAGGACCAACTTCCCCGACATCGAGGTAAGCAAATTCAGAACTCGGTCACGATGCGAACGGTCGCTAATCTTCTGCCAACAGACCAAGTGCACTATCCACTCCGATGCCGGTTCTATCATGGTTATTCCCCGTGAGGACAACATGGTCCGTCTGTATGTCCAGATCGCTTCGTCGGACGACCCCGACTTCGACCCCAGGAAGACAGCAACCGCAGAGGATGTCCAGGCCACTGCTCGGAAGATCCTTCAGCCGTACTGGGTGGAATGGGATCGTGTTGAATGGTACTCCGTGTACCCGATCGGCCAAGGTATCTCTGAGAAGTATACTCTCGATGAGCGTGTTTTCATGGGTGGTGATGCTTGCCACACTCACAGCGTAAGTGTGCCTATTTCTCAAGGTATTCTGCCTGCCGAAAAAAATGCGTTGCTAACAGACACTGTAGCCCAAGGCTGGTCAGGGAATGAACACTGCTTTCCACGATGCTCTGAACATGGCCTGGAAGCTCCACGCCGTTGAGTCTGGTCTGGCTAAACGTTCCATCCTCAGCACCTACGAGACCGAGCGCAAGGATATCGCCGAGACTCTGCTGAGCTTCGACAACAAGTACGCCGCCTTGTTTTCCAAGCGTCGCCCTACTGCCGGTGAGGTCGGCGAGGCCAGCCACACCACTGCTGCGGCTGGCGGAGAGGAAGACGAGTTCGTCAAGACCTTCAAGTCCTCTTGTGAATTCACCAGTGGCTACGGTGTTGCCTACAAGCCTAATGTGTTCACCTGGGACGCTACCCACCCCGCTCAGTCCCCGCTGTTCGACGTCCCCGGTGTCCGCCTGACCCCTGGTCGCGCTTTCACGCCTACCACCGTCACCCGGTTAGCGGACTCCAACCACGTCCACCTGGAACAGGAGATTCCTGCCAACGGTGCGTTCCGTATCTTCATCTTCGCCGGTAAGCAGGACAAGACCAGCAAGGCGATCACTGATCTTGCTGCCAACCTCGAGAAGGAGCGCTCGTTCCTCTCCGTGTACCGCCGCGCCGACATTGCCGACGTGTCGTTCTTCGAAAACCACCTGCCTCACTCCAAGCTATTCTCTATCTGCCTAGTCTACGCAGGCGAGAAGAACCAGATTGATGTGGACTCTATTCCCAAGATCCTCCGCGACTACCACCACCACCTCTATGCCGACAACATCCCCGACGTGCGCGTTCCCCAGGCCACGTACGCCGCTCACGAGAAGCTGGGCTTCGACGTGGAGAAGGGTGGTGTTGTTGTTACTCGCCCTGACAGCCACGTTGCCTGTACCGTTCAGCTGTCCGAGGGCAGCGGCACTGTGGACGCCCTCAATGCCTTCTTCGGCTCGTTTGCAACGAAGCCTTTAGGCCAGGACTCCCAGCAAAGCCGTCTGTAAATGAACATATTGCAACTCACAAGTTTTGTACTTTAAAGATCTTTTCCCCATGGATATTAGGGTGAATTCTGTACATAGTCTTTTCTACATTTTGGTTTCTAGCTTCGTTCAGCCTGACTGATTATGAACCGGCATGGTTGGAGTTGTTCTGTCTTTGAGGAAATTCAATTCAAATCTTGATATGTTGAAGGCCTCCAGCTACTGTAGCAATCATAAACCGAGGATCGTGCTACTATCTTCTACAAGAACTGACTACTATCCCGGCTGATTCCTGGTACCCAAATCACTAGTAGTAATTTCGGTATACCTACTTTATCCACAACAGTCAATGGTCGACAGCCGGCAAGCCGAATCAAACCTCCACACCGGCTTCCTAAGCTGGTAATCCGGCCCGCGGGAAGGTTGGACGGAAGCTGTGCCAGTCCGAACATTCCTGTGGTTGTTTGTTAACGTGGACTTCTTAACCGATGTCCTTCGATGTCTGTAATAAGTTCCTTCCAGTCCATCTCCCCAACAGATCTCAGTAACCACCTCATCAGGGAGCCAGAATAGCCAACAATTAGAGACTATAATCCGGTTGAAGTTTGAAAAGAGCAAAACGTTCAGAAGATATGTATACATTCATGGGGGTTTCATTTCTTGGAATAGATGCTATCCTCCATGAGTCAATGCCGCGTGAGGGAGAATACTACAGCTGTTTGCAAATATAGAGCAAATGTTCATGATCTCCAAGTTTCTCTGAAGGTTTCTGGCTAAACTACATCAAGTAAGGTCTTTGGCATCTTTCATGGGTGGGTACGGAAAGTTACAAAGGAAACATAAAGAAAGCACGTGATATAGCATTGGAGAACTGTTTTGATATTGCTCAGATCCGTGGGGAAAGCCCGGACTTTTTTGTTAAACAGGGAGTGGCAATCGGTGCGGCTCGCAGGTTCGTTGGCCATACTAAGCTTTGGCTCAAGTGGAGGGCCCAAGGCAATACTTAATGTACATAATAGTTCGGCACAGTCACTGTGGTCATATTCGTTGCATTCAGGGCACGATTGTGCGTCACGTAAAGTAGGACCTAGACTACGAAACCAAATTTAGTAGTAGTAGTAGTAGTAGTAGTAGTAGTAGTAGTAGTAGTAGTAGTAGTAGTAGTAGTAGTAGTAGTAGTAGTAGTAGTAGTAGTAGT